GATATCTCTCGGTATAAATTTTAGACATACAATATTTGCATTTTAGAATTGATTATATTTTTTACTAGGAAGAGTTGTTGAATTTAGTAAATACTTTTTTCAGTGAAATAGGAATTGATGGATGCTTCCTTAACATGCTGTATGTGTATCTCACCCCTTAGAAGTCAAGCATCATGCCTACTAGGTAACATTACTAAAGTCAGGACGCAACAAAGATGTCTATTGTCACCAATAATGTTTTACATTGTACCGGAGATACTAGCTAAACAATTAGGCAAATGACAATATTAGACATGTAAAAATAGTAAAATTATTACATTTATAGATGATATACATGGAAAATCAAATAGAATTAACCTAAAAACTACAAAGGTAAAAAAGTTCAAAAATTTAAGGAGGATATCAATAGCTTTTGTAGTCTTAATTCATGGAGTAAATATTTACCGCACACGACAGAGGGCCAGGCTCTTTTCCAAGTGCTGAAGATCTAGTGGTCAACAAAACTGGCAAAAATTCCGGTTTTTGTGAAGTAGTTTCTAATCTAGCCACAATCAATAATTATAAAAAGATTTAGAAGAAAAGGTTCCATAATATCTTAAAAATATGGAATATATTTACTAAGAAATATATAACTATATAGTGAAGAAGACTGTTCCCATCAGATATTAAAATTTGTCTTTAATAATTAAAAATATATTTCTACTGTGTGAAAAGATAGACTAATGGAACAGAATTGAAAGTCTTATAATAGCCCCAATTACTTACATTCATTAACATGTGATTAAGGTCAGGTCTCAAATCAGAGGTTAAATGCATGGTGTGTGGGAAAAATAAAACTAGATCATATCTTTCATGATATACCAGGAAGAACTCCAAATGTAAAAAAGTTAAACTTAAAAGTGTTCCCATGGAATGAAACATGGGATAATTCTTTTGCAATTTCAGTGACAATAAAATATTTCTAATTGAGTCAAAATCCACAAAAGCATAAAAGAAAATATTGATGAATTCAGTACACAGACAAAAGAGTGCATGGGAGGAGAAGTCTGTAAACAAACCCAAAAAACAAATGCTCACTGGAGGAAAAAGATTTGCAACTCACATAGTGGACAGAGTAGTCTTCCTAACATAGAAAGTACTAGAGACCTGGTGCACAACATTCTTGCACTGGGGGTGGGGGGAGACCCTCAGCTCGGCCTGTGCCCTCTAGCAGTCTGGAACCCCTTGGGGGATGTCCACCTGCTGGCTTAGGCCCACTCCCCACAGCAGTTGGACATCCCCCAAGGGGTCCTTAGCGCTGCAGTGGAGACAGGAGAGGTTCCCACCACCACCACTGCACTCGCCAGCCATGACCCCGGCTTCTGGCTGAGCGGCGCTCCCTCTGTGGGAGCACACTGACCACCAGGAGGAAGCTCCTGTGTTGAGCCTCTGCCCCCTGGTGGTCAGTGCACATCATAGCAACCAGTTGTTCCGGGACATGGGCTGCTTCCCTCTTCCAGCTGCCTGAAGGCACCCGGGACCTGGCTGGCTTCCCTTGGGCTGCCTGCAGGCACCCGGGACCCAGGCTGGCTTCCCTCCAGCCCTGGCTTCGTCAGGAAGGATGTCCAGAAGATGTCTGGTCTAATTAGCATATTACCCTTTTATTATTATAGACTAGAGGCTCAGTGCACAAAAATTTGTGCACTCGGGGGGGTCCCTCAGCCTGGCCTGTGCCCTTGCAGTCTGGGACCCCTTGGGGGATGACCACCTGCTGCTTTAGGCCCGCTCCCTGGGGAATTGGGCCTAAGCTGGCAGTCAGACATCACTCTGGCAGCCCGGCAGTCCTCGGGGGTTGTCCACTTGCCAGCGGGGAGCAGGCCTAAGCTGCAGTCGGACATCCTTAGCACAGCTGAGGAGGCGGGAGAGGCTCCTGCCACCACCGCTGTGCTGGCAGTCATCAGCCTGGCTTGTGGCTGAGCAGAGCTCCCCCTGTGGGAGCGCACTGACCACCAGTGGACAGCTCCTGCATTGAGCATCTGCCCCCTGGTGGTCAGTGTGTGTCATAGTGACCAGTCATTCCCAGTCTTTCTGCTGTTAGGGTCAATTTGCATATTGCCCTTTTATTATATAGGATAGAGGCCTGGTTCACACGTGGGGGCTGGCTGGTTTGCCCTGAAGGGTATCCCAGATCAGGGTGGGGGTCCCGCTGGGGTGCCTGGCCAGCCTGGGTGAGGGCTGATGGCTGTTTGCAGCTGATCACACCCCCTTCAGGGTGAGGGTCCCCATTGGGGTGCCTGGCCAGCCTGGGTGAGGGGCTGATGGCTGTTTGCAAGGCTGGTCAAGCCCCCCCCAGTGGGGACTCTCACCCCATGGAGGTTTGGCCAGCCTGGGTGAGGGGCTGATGGCTGTTTTCAGGCTAGGCACACCCCCTTCAGGGTGGGGGTCCCCACTGGGTGCTGTCAGTCTGGTGAGGGCTGAGGGCATTTCAGACTGGCAGCCCCAGCGACGGAAGCTCCCAGCCTCTTTTTTTTCCTTTTTTTTTTTTTTATTCTTTTTTTTTTTATTCTAGGATTTATTACCTCTATATGAACTTTGTGCCTAAGTGAGCTCAGAGCGCTCTGCTCGCTGCAGCTCCATGCACTGCTGGCTGAAGCAGTATCTGGGGTTTATTTATCTTTATAATTGAAACTTTGTTGCCTTCAGTGGAGCTCAGAGCCGGCTGGGAAGCTTGGCTTCCTCCATCACTGGAGCAACCAAGCCTCCTGCTCGCTTCTGCTCCGTGGCTGCTGGCCACCATCTTGGTTGGGTTAATTTGCATATAGTTGCTCTGATTGGCTGGTGGGTGTGGCTTAAGGCATAGTGAAGGTACGGTCAATTTGCTTGTTTGTCTTTTATTAGATTAGATTAAATCACAATAAAGCTGGAAAAAAGTGAGTAAAGGGTAAATTAGAAGAGTACATTAGTACTAAGTAGTTTTTGGGTTTTTCTAATAATGAAGAAAGACAATATAAACAATGTGAAAAAACAAGCCCTCATGCTGGGAGAAGAGAATTGTAACACATGCAACTAAATTTGAATAAACAGAATTCTAGATTAACCAAAACATACAATACACACAGAGTATAAAAGAGTGGGAAAGATATCAACTCATTTTACAGAATAGGAATCTAAGATGACTATTGATAATATAAAAAAGATTCTCAGCCTTACCAGTTATCCTGTCAGTAAAGTTGGAGATGTACATATCTTTCATCTCTGCAGTTTCACTTCTGCATGCACAACCGAGAGAAATGTTCACACATGAGCACTAGGAGACATTCATACAAATATTCATCTCAGCATTTTGTGTAATCACAACGTAAAAGTCTAAAACAATCTAAAATTGTTGGAAACAATCTAAATTTTATAAGCAGGGGGAATTGAGAAATAAATTTGATATATGAAAGTATTCCATATAGAAATGAAAATTAATGAACTAGAGCAAAATTTATCAGCATGGAAAAATTTTAAACATATTAGAATAAAACCAAGTTGCAAAACACTACACACAGGCTTGTATTAGTTACAAAGTTTAAAGACATTCAGAAAAATACAGAATCCTATGGTGGCATTGGTATATATTAATCCTACAGTAAAATGTATGCATGGACAGTGGTCTGGATTTGACCTGTGGGTCATAATTTGCCAACCTGTGATGTATGACACACTCAAAGGAATTACTTCAGTAGTTAAGGTATTAATAATATTATCCCCTCTTACAGGTGGGAAAATTGAGGTTTAGAGGCCTCAACTGGCATCATTTGGGTTAAATTATAATAACCTTACCATGCTCCCATTAGCCACATGGCAATATAAGTTTTTCGTGTATGTAATGCTTATAGAAGATCCTTTTCCTTCCTCTAAAAGTAGAGTGAATTGTGAAGGTCTAATCTTACAGTTTTTCACAATTATAATCTTTAATAGTATGTTTAGAAACTGCATTGCTGGGTCATCTTTATAAAAATTATTTCATGTATGATTTTCCTAGGTTTGCAACATGTTTTATTGTTCAAATGGAGAAACATACAAAAACTGTTTTGATTTAGTTTGTTATTAGATATGGATATCTTATAAGCCAGTTACTAATAATAGGTACCTTTATATAATATGCATTATTATTAAGCAGTTGTTTGTTGTTTTCTAAAGTCCCCTTTATGAAGCAATTTCTTTGTTTTGTCATGACCTGCAGTAATTGAGAATTTACTTACCTACATTTACATTCAAGGTTTAGAAGTACATTTTTCCCTGTTTAATTTCATGGGCTAGAAGTTAGTAGGTATCAAGTAATTATGGCTCTTCTCTTTATGCCAGGGGTGGGGAACATCATTTTGTCTGGGCCTGCCAAGGCATTAGGGGTGAGTTAATTAAATGTTTGACCAAATTAGCAGGCTAATTTTTTAAAATTCTTTTTAAAAAAAATTCTTTATTGTTGAAAGTATTACATAAGTCTCCTTTCCCCCCCCATTGACCTATCCCCAGCCGTTCCCACCCCCCAGCACATGCACTCACTCCCGCTACTGTCTGTGTCCATGGGTTATGCTTATATGCATGCATACAAATCCTTTGGTTGCTCTCTTACTCCCCCTACCCCAATTTCTTAAAATCAGGTTGCTGATAATTTTGTATGGCCCCTGAATGATGTTATAAATACCCAAGTGGCCTTGGCAGGAAAGAGGTTCCCCACCCCTGTTTATGCAGAAAGTAGGACTACTGCAGGCGTGTTGGAATATGTGCAAGTTTAAAGGTGGGGAATAAAAATTATCACAGTACATTTTATCTCCAGGAGAAGACTGAAATGACCTGTGTTTAAGAAAGTTTTAATATGAACCAGAGCCAGGATTTGAACCCATAAAGTACTCAAATAGATGTTCTTAGAGTATTAATTTTAAAAGAAGTTAGGATTTTTAGACAGAAAGGTGATCTTACCAAGTATGTAATTATGTTTATTCTTCCAAACTAAAAATGGGATGTATTTTTTTCAGAGACATCAAACCTGATAATATATTGATGGATATGAACGGACATATTCGGTTAGCAGATTTTGGCTCTTGTCTGAAACTGATGGAAGATGGGACGGTAAGGAAAGATAATTTTTAAATTATTTTACCCACAGACATTTTTCTTGCTACTTGCTACTTTCTTTATCTGTTTAGAAACCACCTATAACAATAAAAGCATAATATGCAAATCGACCGAACAGCAGAACAACCGTCCGGATGACCATGCTATGACATGCACTGGTGCCAGGCCAGTGAAGGCGGGTGCAGTACGATTGGTCGGGGGGGCCCCACGATCTCCCGCAGAGGGAGGCCCAGGCCACTGGTCAGCAGGGCGATCAATAGGGGGGCTCCACGATCGCCTCAAAGAGGGAGGCCTAGGCCACCCTCTGCAGGGTGATCAATCGGGGGGCTCCGCGATCGATTGCCCCAAAGAGGGAGGTGCAAGGCCACCGGCCGGTAGGGCGATCAATCGGAGGGGTGAGGGGAGACTCTGTGATCACCCCAAAGAGGGAGGCCTAGGCCACCCTCTGCAGGGTGATCAATCAGGGGGCTCTGCGATTGATTGCTCCAAAGAGGGAGGTGCAGGCCTTCAGCCGGCGGGGCGATCAATCGGAGGGGTGAGGGGAGACTCTGTGATTGCCCCAAAGAGGGAGGCCCAGGCCACCGACTGGCGGGCTACAGCGGGTGGGTGGGGCCTCTCTCTGCGGGGTGATCGATCACAGGGCTCCCAGACTGCGAGAGGGCACAGGCCGGGCTGAGGGGGCAGGGGCCCTCTCCCCAGAGTGCAGGAATTTCGTGCACCAGGCCTCTAGTTTATTTATATTATCCATTTATCTATCCACCCACCCATCCATCCTTCTATGCTTCACCTTCTTCCCCAAAGGTATTTAGGCTTGTCTATAAAATCATATGCCATTTAAACTGTTTATATTACTGATCTGAAGATGGTCACAGTACGCCTCTCATGAGACCCTGTTTCTTCCTTCTTTAGCTGACCTGGTTATTATTGTACTTGAGATATTTTTACATTTCCAGATGGGCAAAGAAAATAAATCCTACATGGAGAAAAAAATGCAGCTTCTTTGCTTTCATTATATTTTTTTGTCTTTCTTTTCTAGTTGATTTTCCTGAGGGACAGTGTTCAGAAATGAATGCTTTTACCAGGAAGTCCTCGATGTTGATTTAGTTTTGTGTTACCATTTGCCTTAGTTCTGCTAACTCGGGCCTCCGTTGTTTTCTTTCACTCACTTAAAATTTATATGCCCCAAGTTTATTCTCTTGTTTGTTTTGGTTTTTGTTTTTACTTCAGTTTCCTGGATATATAGCAGAAGTCCAAATATATATCCTTTTAATTGGCATAAATGTTTTTAGAGAGCAGTTTAGTAAAATACATTCTAAAGACCATGAAAATGTCATATTATTCTGGACTAGTAAATTGACTTCTAAAAATTTATCCTAAGGAGGTAACTTAAAAAAAAATCCTCACCCCAGGATATGTTTATTGATTTTAGAGAGAGAGGAATGGAGAGTTAGGAAGGAAAGGAAGGAGGAAGGGAGGGCGGGAGGGAGGGACATCTGTTGGTTGCCTCCCCTATGTGTCGCACCCTGGCATTGAACCTGAAACCTAGGTATGTGTCCAAACCAAGATGAGCCTGCAGCCTCTTGGTGCACCATTTGTTTTTCCATATGATTGTTAGATTTTATTATCGGTTTATAGCCATAGTATACACACATACAAATACCCTTTCACAAACACAAGCTTGTCGACTTGCATTGAATTTAGAGATTTAATATCCAGAGATTTTTCTGAAAATTTATGTCTATAACATGGAATTTTACTATCCATGAGTGGCGTCTCCATTGCTTTAGGTTTTCTTTTATGTCTGTTATTTAAGTTTTAAAATAATATTCACTGTAAATCCATTACCTTTAAGTAATGTTAGGTTTGTTCTTAGGCATCTTGTGGAGTTTTTGGGGGGTGGGGGCCTAATATAAACAACTTTTCAAAATTTGTTGTTGGATAGCTTGTTGCTGTTATATAGGACCACAATTGATTTTTGTAGGTGTATCTAGAACCTATCAATCTTGCTAAATATTTTTATAAGTTCAAAATAATTTGTAGATTTTTCTAGATTTCCTACGTAGACAATTATATAATTCACAAATTATGATGAGCTTTGGGTTTTGGTCTTTCAAATCTTTGTGTGTGCTATTTTTTCCTCTTAACCATGCAGTCAGTGACCTTCAGCACAATGTTAAATAGGTGTGGTAATAGGGAGCTTCTTTGCCTTGTCCCTGACTTTAATGGTGTTTTTCCTGCAGTTTCAAATTAAGTATGATGTTTGCTGTAAGCTTTTTATTGGGTTAAGGAAATTTCTATTTCTGATTACTGTGAGTTTGTTGCTAGAGTTGTTATTGTTGTAATCAAATGATGTTTCTGCATCCGCTGAGATAATATAAGGATATTTTTTCTTTAATCTGTTAATCTGATGAGTGACATAGATTGTCCAAGTTAAATCATTCATTCTTTTTTTTTTTAATATATTTTATTGATTTTTTACAGAGAAGGGAGAGGGATAGAGAGTTAGAAACATTGATGAGAGAGCTCGACTAGCTGCCTCCTGCACATCTCCCACTGGGGATGTGCCCGCAACCAAGGTACATGCCCTTGACCGGAATCGAACCTGGGACCCTTGAGTCCGCAGGCCGATGCTCTATCCACTGAGCCAAACCAGTTCGGCAATCATTCATTCTTTGAATCAACATAACTTTATCTTGAAGTTGTATTGCTATATCTGAACAAATTGTTAGATAGACTCTGCTAAAATTTTATATTAGCAAATTTAGATTGTTACCTAAAATTCATACCTGAGATTCATCTTATTTGATATAGCAAATAATTTTCCTTCTCAAATTGTTCTTGTCTGATTTCTATTTTTAGGTTATTTTAGCCTTATAAAATGAACAAGGGAGTCATGTTTCCTCCCCTTGCCTGTTTTGGCTCTAGAATAGTTTATATAATACAAGGATTATCTGTTTCTTATATAATCGGTACAAATCACTTTTAAATCACCCTTGCTTTTGTGAGGTTTTGCTTTCTTCTGTTTTATTTTGTTTTCTAGGTAGATTTTATACTATTGATTCAAATTTTTTAATGGTTATAGGTCTGTTTGGTTTTCTATTTCTTCCTGAGTCAGTTTTGGTAAGTTATATTTTTTTCTATGAACATTGTCTATTGTCAATGAGCTGTCAGTTTTATTGGTATAAAATTGTTTAGGTTGAACTCTTCCTAGTTTAAAAATCTTTTACATGCATAGTTTTTTCATTTCTAATGTTTGTGCTTTTCTTTTCCTTCATAAATTTTGATGTAGAGCATTTTACTATTTTTTAGTTCTAAATATTTTCCAACTTTAGTTAGAATTAATTCTTCTGTGGACCATTAATTATTTAGATGTATGCCTTTTAATATCCAACATATTTAATTATTTCTAGTTTTATTTTCATGGGGAATGGGTCTAATTGATACGAGTTTTTTGGCATTTGTCACTGTTTGCTGTTTGATTTTGTAATAGCTCAGTTTTTATAAGTATTACAAGTTTATTGAAAAGAATACGTTTTTTCTAACTTTTAGGTGCAGGATTCTATATAATGTCCGTAAGATTAAACTTGTTAACTGGTTCAAATTTTTTATATTCTTACCAGTTTTATTTTTCTCTGATGTATTACCTTTTATGTAAAAATCCTTAATGTGATGTTAAATTACTAATTTTTCCCTGTGGTCATCAATATCTTCACAACTCTTTTGTAGCTATGTTGTTATTAGAATCGCTATTCCAGGGTGTTTTATATGTAAGCTAATAAATTTAAAAAATTTTAAATGATTTTGGCCTTAAAATCTATTTTGAGTTATATTAATATAGCTTCCTTAACTTTATTTTGTTTAACACCTGCCTCATGTATCTTTTCTGTCCCTTTACTTTTTAATATTTTAGTGTCCTTATGTTTAGATGCAACTCTTTAAAACAGATTATTGCTGATTTAAAAAAAAAAGTTTATTTGGCTCTGGCCAATGCCTATGTTGGTTGGAACATCGTCCCATACACCCAAAGGTTATGAGTTCGATTACCAGTCAGGGCACATACCCAGGTTGCAGGTTCGATCCCAGGTCAGGGCATGTATGGGAGGCAACCAGTTAATGTTTCTCTCTCATATCAATGTTTCTCTCTCACATCAATGTTTCTCTCCTCTTCCTCTCCTATCCGCTCTCTAAAACAAATTTTAAAAAGCATATCCTTGGGTGAGGATTAAAAAAACAATGTTGATTTTGGTTTTATTTGTCATGCAGTGTGATACTGCTGTCTTTTAATCGGTGAACTTAGTCTTATGAATTCCGTGATTGTAGATGTATTTATTTCTACTACCCTTTCTTGTGCTATTTACTCTAGGCTTTGCTTGTTTGTTTACATACATGCTTGTGTGGGGTTTTTTCCCCCTCTTTCCTGCATTCTATTGGCCTGGTCAAATTTAGTTTTATTTCTCTTTTTCGTTACTTCTTTGGAGTTTTACATTCTATTTCAAATACTTTAATGTTTATCTTAAATTTTTTAAATTTATAATTGACCTAAAATCTAGTGTTAATGTTTTCTACCATATTCCTAATTAAAACAAGAAACTTAGTGTATTTTATACCATACAAAAATTAGCTCAGAATGGATCGAAGACCTGAATGTTAGAGTTAAAACTAACATTGAAAGGAAACATATAGGGGAAGCTTATGACATTGGATTGGGCATTGATTTCTTGGATGTGACACCACACAACGGGCAACTAAAGAAAAAATAGGTAAATTGGAATCAGTAAAAAGTTTTCTGCATTAAAGGACAGTCATCTTAGTGAAAAGGTAACCTATGGAGTGGGAGAAAATAGTTGCAAATCATGTATCTGATGAGTGTTAATATCCAGAATATAGAAAGAACACCGACAATTCAATAACAAGTAATCCAATTCAAAATGAGCAAAGGACTTTAATAAACGTTTCTCCTAAGAAGATATACAAATGGCCAACAAGCACATGAAAAGATGTTCAACATCACTAATCATTATGGAAATGCAGATCAGAACCACAATGAGATACTACCTCATACCCATTAGAATGGCTACCATGACAAAGAACAGAAAGTAACAAGTGTTGACAAAGAAGTAGAAAATTGGAACCCTGTACGCTGTTGATGGGAATGTAAAATTCTATAACCTCTCTGGAAACAGTATGGCAGTTCTTCAAAAAATTAAAAACAGAATTACCACATGATCCAGGAATTTCACTTCTGAGTACATACTCCATAAAATTGAAAGCAAGGACTCAGAGAGATATTTGTACACTATGTTCAGTAGCAGCATTATTTACAACTGGAGGCCCGGTGCACAAATTCGTACACGGGTGGGGTCCCTCAGCCTAGCCTGCAGGATCAGGATGAAACTGGCTCTCCAACATCCCCCGAGGGGTCCCGGATTGTGAGAGGGCGCAGGCCAGGCCAAGGGACCCCACCAGTGCACGATCAGGGCTGGGGAGGGACGCAGGAGGTTGGGCAGCCAAGGAGGGACCGCAGGAGGGCTCCAGGGCGTGTCCAGCCAGTCTTGTTCAGTCCCAATCGGCCAGACCCCAGCAGCAAGCTAACCTGCTGGTTGGAGCATCTGCCCCCTGGTGGTCAGTGCACATCATAGCGAGTGGTTGAGCAGCCTTAGCATATCATTAGCATATTATGCTTTGATTGGTTGAACAGCTGACCAGACACTTAGCATATTAGGCTTTTATTATATAGGATAGCCAAGGAATGTAAGTAACTTAGGTGTCCATTAACAAATAAATAGATAAATTAAAAATGGGTACAGTTTCCGTTTTGAACGATGAACAGTTCTAGAGATGGATGTTGGTGATAAGTGCACAACAGTGTAAATGTACTTAATGCCACTGAACTGTACACTTGGAAATGGTTATGATGGTAAATTTTATGGTATGAGTTTTTTACCACAATTAAAAATAATAATTAAAAAGTAAATAAAGATAATGTGTAATAACATAAACATTAGACCACTTCAAGAAACTTAGACCATTTCAATCCTAATTGTACCCTTAGTGACAGGTTCTTGTTTCTAGGATTTTAGTTTCACCTCACTTTTCAGTGTTCAAGTAGTTTCCTCCTCCTCTGCCACCTTCTTTTCCTTCTGCTGCTCCTCCACTTCCTCCTCCTCCTCCTTATCCTTTACTCCTTTTCTTCCTCATCACTAATAACTTTGTTCACAATTTTGCTAATTGTAAAAGTTACAAAGTTAACTAATGTCTTTGTTCACCATTACTTCTGGTATCACATCTTCCTTCTGGGTTAAATTTCTTATTTAATGAAGTATGTTCTTTAGTGCTTCTGTTTATCTGAAAGGGTCTACATGTGGTAGTTCACCCAGTCTTTGTGTGAAAATGTCTTTATTTAACCCTCATTCTTGTATCATAATGTAGATAGGTAAGGAATATAATTTTGGCAATTATTTTGTCTCGTCATTTTGAAGAAACAGTTCCATTTTCTTCTGACGGCTACGTTAGCATTAATAATTCAGCTGTCAGTTTAATTCTCATTCCTTGCTAGGTAATCTTTCTTTATTCTTTAATGTTTTTAATCTCTTAGTTTTTGGTGCTCTGTAGTTTTTAACTACAGTGTACATAGAAGTGTATCTGGTTTTATTTATCTTTTCATATCTTTCACATATTTACTGTATTTTTTATTTTGACGACTTTTATTTCTAGGACTTCTATCTGATTTGATTTTTTTCATCATTTTGTTCTTATGCTTTTGATTAAAAAATAAAATGTCAGAAAGTTAAAAATATTTCATGAAGTGGAACTGATACTTGTTAGGAGTCTAAGTGTATTGGTCAGATTTCTGACTTGCTTGTAATGGGATATTACTCATTTAGGTTATGTGATTGGGTTGGCAGCTCTTCTTCGGTGGGCGTTTATGTGTGAGAATTCTGTGTGACCACCTGTGAGCATGTGCCTCCGGAGTAGTTTTAAGTTTGTTATGCCAGGCTTTCTGGGGCATCTAATCTGGTGCCAATAGTTTTGCCAGTTTGTTGGCTTGAGAACGTCTGGACCACGGAAGCTCTGTGAACCAAAATGCCAGGCGGTGGGACCATGTGACCTAAGGTTATGGACTTCTGGAGGCGGAAGTTTCTTCACACGTCAGCTGCAATCAAGATGGGCAGAAAGTCTTATCTTCTCTGCTGAGTGGCAGGGTTTTGAAATTCAGCTTTTTGTTTACAGTGTACTCTCCAGGGTAAAGGTTACATGGGCAACCTCTCACTGCAAACCTCATGTATGCTCAACGCCTTTCCTTTGTCCTCACATTAAAATCCAAGTAATAGAAAGTGAAAACTAACAGCTCCCCAACCCCCCTCCTGCTTTAATGCTTACCAACCCAGGTTCTCCACCATTTCTCAATTTCTGGCCCCAAAGAGTTCTTTTTTTAAACGCTTATGTATATGTTTATTTTAAAAGGTTGTTACATTTTATCTGGTATTTTTAAGAGTTTGGAACGGAGGAGTTTTCAAATTACTTAATCTCAGTATTGCCAGAGATAGTCTATTCTAATGATTACTAAGACTGGTAATTTAGTCCAGGAAACTCAGAATGTTAACCAGAATTCTGCCTTGAGAATGTTCATTTTTTGATAATTTCTTTTAAATCTTATAAGGAACCAATTTTCTTTTAATTGAAAGCTTCTTACAAAATTGTTCCCAGGATCATTTTTAGCTATCACTTTCTAATTTACATCTAACTTGCCTTAATTATATGTCCAACTATTTTTCTCTATCGGAACTTTATTTTTTGAAGGATATATTTTTCCTTTTATGTAATTTTTTAATTAAGTAGTTTGCAGGACATCATTATAATTTATTTCCTTAGGTTTTCATTAAGGTATTTAAAAATGATCTCCAGGTTACTGATAAGTATCAGCCAAGTTTTTTTGAGCCGTTTTCTCCCGTAACTAATTGTAAACATTTTTTTATGTATACATGTTAGGCAGATTATCAATAATAAGAATGTTCTAACTATATCTGATGGAACAAAGGCAGGTAGACATAAGTATATATGAATCAATTGTGAATTTCTTCCAATGCAAAAAAATACCAGTTAAAAAAAAAAGAATGTTTGAAACTAAATATTGAATTTTCTGGCTGTGGTGTTTATCCCATTGTTACCCTAAATGTGTCAATTCAGTAACAGCTGTAATAAAGTTTTATAATATTATAAAATCTGAAGAACTATTAGTGTAGAGATTATGTAAAATTTAATTTATATGTACAAGGAAGCTAAATTCAGATAATGACACAATTATAGTTTTGAGATACTGTCTATTGTGTAAACACATGTAAATACTTTCAAAATTATTTGTTTCTAGTATAGTAGATTGCTAAAAGTGTGAATTTCTTCAGGTTCAGTCCTCAGTGGCTGTTGGAACTCCAGATTATATCTCTCCTGAAATCCTTCAAGCCATGGAAGATGGAAAAGGCAGATACGGACCCGAGTGTGACTGGTGGTCTTTGGGAGTCTGTATGTATGAAATGCTTTATGGAGAAACACCGTTTTATGCAGAATCTCTGGTGGAGACATATGGAAAAATCATGAATCACAAAGTTAGTATACTTTACTATTTTTCAAATTGATGTAAATAATATATATAATAAATTGAATGTGATATTTAAACAGAAAATATTTTTCTAAAAACAGTATATGATCTAATTTCTCTGCTAATAGGGAACATGACAAACATGAATAATCAAAGTCCATTAACTATACATAAAATTATTGGTTCTAATCCTCTACTATATTTTATTAGAGGAGAAGGTAATAAGTAGGAAATTAAATGGCTTCTAGTAGAATAACAAAGATCATAAGCAGATATTTTTTAATCATTACTACTACAGTGATAAATGAAATGCAAATTAAAATAAGAATGAGAGCCCTAACTGGTTTGGCTCGGTGGATAGAGCGTCGGCCTGCGGACTGAAGGGTCCCAGGTTCGATTCTGGTCAAGGGCGTGTACCTTGGTTGCGGGCACATCCTCAGTGTGGAGTGTGCAGGAGGCAGCTGATCGATGTTTCTCTCTCATCGATGTTTCTAACTCTCTATCCCTCTCCCCTCCTCTCTGTAAAAAATCAATAAAATATATTTTAAAAAAATAAGAATAAGATACTTTCCCCCGTCAAATTGCTAAAGATTAAAAGAAAAATTGTACTTTGTACTATAAATAATCCAGTGAGATGGGCATTATTTTTTCAATTATATTTTTATTGATTTCAGAGAGGAAGGGAGAGGGAGAGATAGAAACATCAGTGATGAGAGAGAATCATTGATCGGCTGCCTCCTGCATGCCCCATATTGGGGATCGAGTTCACAACCGGCATCTGCCCTGATCAGGAATTGAACCATGACTTCCTGGTTCATAGGTCAACGCTCAACCACTGAGCCATGCCGGCTGGGCTAGATGGACATTATTGATAGAAATATAAATTGATGTAACCTTTCCGTCAAGAAGTTTATAAGTTTGCATCTAGAGTCTTTAAAAATGGTTGGGACTTTTAAAAAAAATCTTTATTGTTGAAAGTATTACATATGTCCCCTTTTTTCCCCATTGACCTCCTCCAATCCACCCCCACCTCCAACCCTCCCATGCCTCCGCCCCAGGCCTTCACCACCCTATTGTCTATGTCCATGGGTTATGAATAAAAGGTCTTTGGTTGATTAAATGCTTGGAACTTTTGATTGACCAACTTCGGCTGCAGTAATCTACCCTCAGGAAATCTTCAGTAGAATAAAGGTGCATGTACCAGAATACCTGTTCTATTATTTATGATCACCAAATATTGAAAATAATCCAGATGCACAACAGGAGTGAATTAATAAAACTTTAATCCACTTAGTACCAAGTTAAATGGAAATAGATTGATGGGTCTCAGAAAATTGTGAGCAATTGCAAAACCATGGATTGTGACTAGGAGTATTCCATAAAGGGAGTGTGAATAAATACTAGAAGCCACAACTTCTGGAATATAATCTATATAATTTATTCTTTTTACTTGGTTCTACTGACACATTTATGATTATTTGCTTCACACATCTATAAACCAGTTTTATAGAATTTATGCTCTTCTACCTGGTTGCAAAGATAATCTGGTAAATAGTGGTGACGAGTTGAAAGACAATGAATAGCTACAGAGCTGTAGAAAGCATGAAAGCATTTCAGAGGGGAGTCATTGTACTATAACATGATGGTTAAGAACACAGATGCTGGAGTCCAGACAGTTTCAGGTCAAATCCCAGCTCTGCCATTTACTAGCGTGTGGCCTTGAGCCAGTTGCTTGAGTTCTGTGCCCTGGTTTCCTCCTCTGTGAAAATTAGGACAATAGTCGCACTTGCCCCTTACCCCCTACGGCTTAGAGGGTCGCTGTGAGGGTTAAACGAGGAAAGCACTTTCAATTGTGTCAAGTACATGTTCCATTTAAAAAAAAATGTTTATTATTATTAATCATTAGTATGTGACTTGTATGAGCCATTTGTGCTCTTGAAATATCCAGGCAAATTCTGTTTTTAATGAATTCTCTTGATTCTGAGAGCAGTTTAAGGTATTTTAGCATTTAATTTATTCTTACTACAGTGCAGTATGACTCAGTCACACATGAAATTAAAATTGTTTAGGAAGACATTCTTTTCTCATTTATTCCCATATTTTCTTCAGTATCTGTACTTTGTATCAGTATACTCCTAAAGGTATTTTGAAAAGAAAATGTATTTTCAAGAAAATAAATGTTCACCTCCTTATAGTAAGTTACATGGTGATTTATAATGTGTTTCCATTACTCTCTGTTTAGGAGAGGTTTCAGTTTCCACCTCAGCTGACAGATGTGTCTGAAAATGCCAAGGATCTTATTCGCAGGCTCATCTGTAGCAGAGAACATCGACTTGGTCAAAACGGAATAGAAGATTTTAAGAAACACCCATTTTTCAGTGGAATTGATTGGGAGAATATTCAAAACTGTGAAGCACCTTATATCCCAGAAGTCAGCAGCCCAACAGACACATCGAACTTCGACGTGGATGATGACTGTTTAAAGAATTCGGTGAGTATGACGTTGGGAAGATCTGTCCCTGTTTCTTTTTAACGTGGTTATGAAGCAACTTTATGGACCACCTTATCAGCGACCAGTCAGATAGTTGTGGCTTCTAGTATTTATTCACAAATTCAAGAAATTAAAAGAGAGTGTACTGAGGCCAACATAGTTATTCATGACTAGGAGCAAAATCAAAATGCAAAGGTTTACTTCTTAGATTAGTTATGTCTTTACGTTTCCTAAGAAGAGAACAAATTAGATGCTTAAAAAAGTGAACTTCATGATGGCAAATCTCTCCTTAAAATCCACTATGAAATTAGATAAAATTGTTAACCTTTTCGGGTCTTGACACATTAATCCAAGGTAAAGAAATTGAGAAGCACCTATTCATGAAAAACCACTGAACTTGGTTAAAAACAGCTGCCTCCCCTCCCCTCAGCTTGGGTGGGGCAGGAGAGCTGCTAGCTTGCAGCTCCTTATACACCCAGCTGCTAGCTTGCAGCTCCTTATACACCCAGCAGCTTTGCTGCCCAGGGGGCTGCCTGGATTTGGAAGCTAAATAACCCATGCCCAGTGATATTGCCACTAGAAACGGCAAACTTGGTAGGAAATGAATGGGTAAAGGAAACCTACAGCCTTACTATCCTGAGGTTGTAGCCCTGTTTGAGGCTACTGGCAGACCAGCAGGTTAGCCAAATATTCAACCATTTTTAGCTGTGTGAAGTACTAAAACAGGCCAGCATAGTTTGTCAACCTCTGCCCTAAACCATTATGTTTTATCAAATTAGAATTTATAAAACTGAGAACATAAAATTTTTGTTTTTTGCATTTTTAGCCTTTTTAATTTGACTTTTTGTTTTAATTCAGTTATTTTTTATGGTTTTAATTCTGCACTAAGAATTTTTATATTAATTTTATATCACTTTACACTGTTCAGTAAGTACCATATTCAGGGCAGATAAGAGAAAGACAAGTACTGATGACTTCACTTATATGTGGAATCTAGTGAACAAAGTAAACAAATAAACAAAATAGAAACAGACTCATAGATACAGAGAGCAGACTGACAGCTGTTGGGGGTGGGGGAATACTGGGGAGCTGGGTGAAAAGATGAAGGGGGTCCTATTTAATAAAGAGGGAATATGCTCATTGAACCCCACACAGTCGCAAATATGGCAGGGCCCACAGCCAATAAGGAGGGAATATGCTAATTGACTGCCCCGCCCTCAAAGATGGTGGTGCCCACAGCCACAAGCTGGCAGGAGAGTGGTTAGGGGTGATCAGGCTGGCAGGCAGAAGCGGTTAGGGGCAAGCAGGTAGGCAGGCAGGTGAGCGGTTGGGAGCCAGCAGTCCCGGATTGTGAGAGGGATGTCCGACTGCTGGTTTAGGCCCGATCCTAAACATCCCCCGAGGTGTCCTGGATTGGAGAGGGTGCAGGCTGGGCTGAGTGACCCCCCCCCCACCCCCCGCATGAATTTTGTGCACCGGGCCTCTAGTAATAATAATAAACACAAAAAACACGTCAGACAACAATATGGTCATTATCAGAGGTGGAAAGGGAGGTAAGGGGATAGAGGAGGTAATGGGGGGATCAGCGGTGATAGGAGACTCGACTTGGGGTAGTGAGCACACAACACAATATACAGAGGATGTATTATAGAATTGTACACCTGAAGCCTATATAACTTTATTAACCAATGTCACTTCAATAAATTCAGTAAAAAAAAGAACCTCTCTTATACTTGCCTTTCTCAGCCTCACAACAAAAGAATTAAATAGACTTTTCCTCATCAGTGTTTTATTACAGGAACTATATTTACTGCTAACAGAAATTGTGAGTCATTCCTAATTAAATCAATTCTGATTACTTAGTAGTTATGTTCAGTAAAGTTGCTGTACACACTCTAATAGTGAATGTTGAGCCATTGCCCCTAGGGGAAGGTAGGGTTAGGTTCCTGTGAGCCTGAGGTCGACATTTTCGTCAACCGATAAATACATAACCTCGTTTTATGTGCGTTTCTATTTCAAGATAACCTTATTTAGTAGATATTGTTGGTTAATGAACACTGGACTCACAGCCAACAGCTCTGTAACTCATGCCCGAATGAAGCTTATCTAACACATTTTTTGGTGAGACTCATCACACAGCCTTCTTGCTTAGGAACAAAAGACGGCACTTGAGTACTATGCTTGGGGGCCAGTTTAACAACAAGAGCACCCATAAAAGGCACAAAAATGTGAAAAGCATGGTGCACTTAGGCCCTGCAAAGAACACTTGTTTACAGTCTGAGGGATGAAGTAAGAAGGCGAGCATCTCTTGTTCAGTTCCAGCTGGGAACGTATGTGTAGGGAAACCTGGACTTTCCTTTGCTCTGTACACGTCTGCTAAAGCAGCGGTCGCCAGCTGGTGGTCCGTGAGGTCCGAAAGGTTGGCGACCGCTGTGCTAAAGTGCTGCGAATATTGATGGGGTTACAGATAAATTTTAGTGACCAGGCAAATTTGCAAACATGGACCTCGTGAAAAATGACTGTATTCAATATCAGACTTTATTTTCATTTTATTAGAATTTTACAGTAGCAATGTTTATGGTCTAAATATTATGTCGCCTAAGTATCTGTTCCAAACTTTTCAGTGTTTCTAAATTGAACAGTCACACATTGCCTATTGACAGTTAATATTTATAGTCCAACCTACAGGTCATAGTTGTTTATTTCTCACCAGAAGTTTCTATCTCCTGTAGGAAACGATGCCCCCACCAACACACACTGCATTTTCTGGCCACCACCTGCCATTTGTCGGTTTTACCTATACTAGTAGCTGGTAAGTTTGAAAAGTTAACATAATTTGGACAATTTAAAGCAAATTAAAATGAATTGTTTAAAAATGTATAATGTATAAAACAACTTTGTAAATCAAAAATTTTAAAAATGGTGAAGCTACTGCTGGAATAAGTTAACTATTTCAAAAGGAAAAGAACATAGAAGAATCATAACTCATTTTGGAGGAGAAAGAATAGAACAGTTAGCCCAGAAATCTAACTATTAACAATGGGGCAGGAATTAGAGGAGTCCCCTTGCTATTGAATAAATTTTCTCTAAGTGTCAAGAATCAGCACTTTCAACTCATTAATCCTAACCATCTTTGCACTGACCCTCATTCCACTCGTATCTTCTTTTTACTCCTTACCCAGCTTACATTTCAAGGACAATAATTATCACTCCTTATAAGTGCTCCCTCAATTCCTGAACTATCTCATTTTGTTACGCTAGTTTTGCTAAGTTGACACTCATTATTACTGCCTGTACCTGTGCAGTTCAGTGTCTAGAAAAAAAAATCTGTGAACATTCTTACTGGTCTCACTTTAAGGTCATGATTACCAACCTCCAGCTGCATGGCAACCTCCCTTCTTACTGCATGGCACACAAGCTGTGTTACCCTAGTGTAGCCCCTCTTCCACTCCCTTAGGTGTCTATTTCACATAGCAGACGTTCCTCTAAAACCTCTGTCATCCGCACTCTCAGCTGGCGATCTCTCTTCTCTTCGACTAAGAGGTTGAAGCGAACAGTAGATAACTTCTGTAGCTCCCATCACATTTACCACCTACATACCTCTGGACCCTTATATTCTTCTTTCTAGGCATGGACTACGAGTCCCTTCCGTCCCTTCTTGCTTGCTGTTAAAAGTTTTTCCCTTTCTGTGTCATTGGCATAATCAGAGCATTCACATGAGCCCATAGACATGCAGGTTTTCTCTCCCATCTTAAAGCAGAGTGTAACGTCTCTTCATACAACTTTCTTTACCCTGCGACTAACCATTTCTCAGCTCTACATTATAGCAAAATTACTTCCAGCTGTTGTCTGTATTTTGTGATTTTTCTCTCTCATTCTATTCTTTCTGACACCACCCCAGTCAACTTTGCAAGCTGCTTTTGTTGATGTCACCACCGACCTCCATGTTGCTAAATTTAATGATCATTTCTTTTTTTTAAATATGTTTTTATTGATTTTTAGAGAGAGAGGAAGGGAGTGGGATAGAGAGAGAAACATCATTGATCAGCTGCCTCCTCCACGCCCTCCACTAGGGGATTGAGCCTGCAACCCGGGCATGTGCCCTGACTGGGAATCGAACCGGGGCCTCTTGGTCAGGGTTTGAAGCTCAACCACGTAGCCATACCAGCCGGGTTAATGATAATTTCTTGGTCTTAGTTGCTCAGTCTCATCTTATTTGTCATGTTTCCTTCCCATTAAAACACACTCTTCTCTTAGGTTCCAGGGCACTTGCCTGATTTGTCCTTATCTTTCTGGCCACACCCTCTCAGTCCCACATCTGCTGCCCCCTCATCCCATAGCTTCATCTTTGGATCTTTTCCGCTGATACTCGGGTGCTCTCTCAGGTACTTATGATGCTCCTACTGTGTACCTCCAGCCCGAGACCTCTTTCCTCTCTTCTATTTAAAATCTCTTAACCACCTACTTCAAATGTTCTCAACTTTGATTCTTATTTTCTCTGAACCTGTCTGAGTGGTCCTGCTAAAAGTTAAGTCAGAACATGTCATTCCCCCCTTTAGGACTGTCCCCACCTCTGGTTACTTTATATCTTAACTCCAAATCTTACCTGATTGTGTCTACGCCTGCTATTCCCCTGCTCATTCCCCTGCTCACTCCACTCCAGCCACACAGGTCTCCTTCCTGGCCCAGGAACATGCCAGTCGTCCTCTTGTTTCAGGGCTTTTGCACTTCTGTTCCACGTACCTAGAATACTTCTCCCAATATTCCTAGAGTCCCCTCTCTCTCTCTGAACTTTATTCAGAGTTACTTTCTGAGTGATGACTTTCCTGACCACTTTACCTAAATTTTTATTTTCTCCCGCTCAGACCTTCATTTCTTCCCTCCCTGCTCTTGTTTTCTCCTTAACATTTAACATGATCTAATGTACTGAATATTTTACTTACCCGTTTATTTTTGTCCCTGGCATATAAGCTCCACATTGGGCAAGTTTTGTTTTGCTCACTGCTGCGTGTCCAGGACTTCACATTGTTTTTTTTCTAATTGCATTGCATTAAAGAAAGCATTTCACCTTTGAATTCCCAATTCCAGTGAAGGGGCCCATGGTTGGTGCTTTTGACTAGTAATTCACATGGATGGTTACATCGTTTCAAGCTACCAATAACCCTTCAGCAAATGTCATTTTATAATTTTTTGTTTATTAAAAGAAATACAGGGTAATTTGGGCAATTTAGGTTTTCATTTTTAAAAATGCTTCTAAAAAGTTGTTTATGCTGATTTTGCAAAAAAAAAAGTGTTTTACAGTCATTCTAGATGGCTAACTGTAACTAGATGTTCAAATCCATGTTTCACAAGGTTATCGAGTTGTTGTTCAGTGTGATCCCACCTTGTTTTCTTTTCTCCAGTGTTCTTTCTGATCGGAGCTGTCTAAGAGTGACAGCTGCTCCCACTTCTCTGGATCTTGATGCTAATGTTCAGAGGACTCTAGACAACAACCTAGCCACCGAAGCTTATGAAAGAAGGATCAAACGCCTTGAACAGGAAAAGCTTGAACTTAGTAGAAAGCTTCAAGGTAAATATATTTTAAAGATAACATTTTTCCTTTTTTGAGGTGGACTCACAGTGTTAGGAACTGTGCATTATAAGTGGTGGTTTTATCTTGAAAAAAGTTTTATTATTAAGTAGAAAAAAATTAAGTTGTTGAAATTTATGCAGAATACAGTATAATATTTATGTAAAGGCACAAAATTAACAGTAAACAAAATGGCATTTGTTTCCACAGGTATATGTATGTACATGTATAAACACACATACACACACATGTGATTTTAAAATGCACCTTGGTGCTCTGGCTGGTGTGGTTCAGTAGTTAGAGCGTTAGCGCAGGGACTGAAGGGTTCTGTTCCTGGTCAAGGCCTCGTACCTAAGTTGCAGGTTCGCTCCCTGTCCCTGCCAGGGTGCATGCAGGAAGCAACCAGTTGATGTGACTCTTTCACATTGATGTTTCTCTCAGGACATATTTTTGATGTCACAAATTATTTCTCTTTGGTGCGAATTTGCTACCAAATAGTAGTAGCTATAGTTAATTTCCAATGCTTTTGTCCTTCAGCGTTTGCTATAATTAAGTGTTTAACACTAATCTAAAATAGAGCTCGTTTTCTACTTCTGACTGTCTGTCACCTTAATCTTCTCATTTTAGCTTGAAGAGGCCATTTCAGCATTTCTTGTCAGGCAGATCTGGCAGTGAACGCACTCAGCGTTTGTTTCTCTGGGAAAGCCGTTATTTCTCCTTAATGTGGATAGAGTATTCCTGGCTGGCAGTTTGTACCTTTCAGTACTTTGAGTATGTGATTCCACCTTCTCCTGAACTGTAGAATTTCCACTGAGAAATCTGCTGATAGCCTAATGGGGTTCCTTTGTAGTTTACTTCTTCCCCCCCTAGTTGTCCTTAAAATTAGGTCTTTGTCATTGACTTTGATAATTTATTTAATGTGTGTTAAAGGTGTTTTTTTTTTTAATTTTATATTTTTATTGATTTCAGAGAGGAAGGGAGAGGGAGAGAGAGATAGAAACATCAGTGATGAGAGAGAATCATTGATCCGCTGCCTCCTGCATGCCCCCCATTGGGGAACGAGCTGGCAACCCAGGCATGTGCCCTGACCGGGAATCAAACTGTGACCTGCTTCATAGGTTGATGCTCAACCACTGAGCCATGCTGGCCGGCCAGGCTCGAAGGTCTTTTTGTATTGAGATAGTAAAGTGTTCTATCAGCTTTGTGGACTTGCATGTCTAGTTCTTTTCCCCATGCTTGGTAAGTTCTTATCTACTATTTCTTTAATTAAATTCTCTCTTCCACCATCCCCCGGACTTCTGGTATACCCATTATTCATATATTGGCTTCTCTGATGGAGTCAGATAACTATTACAGGTTTTCTTCACTTTTTAAAATATTAATTCTCTCTTTTCCACCTGAGTCATTTCTAATACCTATCATACAGAGTGCTATTCTCTCTTCCATGTGGTTTACTCTATTTCCAGCACTTTCTAATGCATTCTTCATCTCCTTTATTGAGTTCTTCAGCTCCAGAATTTTTCCTTGGTTTTTTAATTTAAACCTCTTTGGGAAATTACTTATTCTGTTCATTATTTTTATTCCAGAGTTCACTGAATTGCCTTTCTGAGTTTTCTTTTAGTTTGTTGAATTTCTTCATAACAGCTATTTTGAATTCTTTATCAGATTTCAACATTCCATGTCTTTGAGTTTGGTTGCTGGAGAATTGTCATTTTCTTTTTGTATTAACTGTGCTCTTTCAGTGTTTCATGAAATGTGCCTCTGTCATCACATTTGAAGAAGCAAATCTCTTTCCTATTTAGGTAAGGCTTGGTTTACTTTGGTTCTAACAGCTCAATAGCTTGGCAACCAGAAGCCCTTCTTTTGCTTTCCAGAAAGTGGCGATAGCACACGTTTTTGGTTTGTCTGAAAGTTACTGACTTACAACTTTGATTATGCTTAAATGTGCTGGTGGCAGGGCGGGCGAGGTGTGTGCTTAACACCTGGGGCTTTGGGTGTGCTCACGGCCTGGTGAGGGGATCCTCAAGGTGGGGAGCCCCAGAGGTCTGTGGGCCACAGCAGGACCTTTAGTTCTCTGTCTGCCTTCTTCCCTCTCCTCTGCCTCCCCAGTCCCCGAGGTCTCTCCTCTGGAAGCAGGTGCTGAAGAGCACAGGCTCCTCCGGCTGCAGCCTCCTGGTGGCCAGGCCCACTTTTACTTTCCACCTCGTCTGCTAGATAGGTCTCTGCTGCCCCCTGGAGTCACCGCTGCTGTGACTCCCGGGGCTCTGTAGCCTCCTGCTAGGTCAAACCCACCACTTCTGGATCCGCAGTTGGATGGATCCTGGGGGATCCTGGAGTGCCGTGCAGAGGCACTTTTGTTTAGTTATGGGTGTCCAATTAATTGTAAGTTGGAGGAGATAGAAAAGAGGAATGGCCATGTCACCGTGATGCTGTCACCCTGTTTTGGTTTTTAAATGGTGTTATGCATATAGCAAGGTGAGCAGATACTCTCTTTTTAAGTGGAAGCCCCATAAATGTTTATATATGTGTACATTCATGTCACCTACACCCATTTTCTACTCCCAACTTAGATGTCTTTAAAATAAACAAAGGATGTTCTTTTAAAAACAATAAATACAAAAAGCACCAGTTTTTAGCATGTTTAAACCCAAAGGTGGAGAAACATGTAAGAAATAGTTATTGGGTGTAGATCATGATTAGATGAGCAGTATGGTGTATCTTACACCTTTAAGTCAAATTAACAAATATTTATGACAGCTATGCATGATGATGATGATGTTCTCCACACAGATGGCGAAGATTAATTAGAAAATCTCTGTCCTCTGTGGGTGACAGTTTTTTGGAGATAAATATATATATAATGTATTTAAGTAATAATATGTTATATAAGTAACAAGTTATATAAAGCAATATATAAATAAATGCAGTCATGCACAGGAATGCCATTTCAGTAAACAATGGGCCAACATGGTGATACCATAAGATTATAATGGAATTGAAAAATTCCTATGGCTTAGTGACATCATAACTGTCAGACAGTTACCGAGCACCACATTACCTGTTTATGGTGATGCTGGTGTAACAGATCTACTGTGCTGCCAGTCATATAAAAATATAGCACGTACAATTACATTAGTCTGCTGTCTAGGTTTGTGTAAGTGCACTCTATGGCATTCACATGATGAAATTGCCTAACTGCATTTCTCAGAACAGTGTTGTTAAACGGTGCATGACTAATGCAGAGCAATTAGTAATGATTTGTACTAACAACGTTTGTGGTAAGGTAGGGTCTTACTATTTAGGAACCCTCCATAAGGTAGCAGCAGAATGATTATTTAGGACAAGAGTCATTTCATTTCTGACATAAGTGGTTTTAAAGTTTTTCCCATATCTTTGATACTATCTGGGAATAAGACTCAATAGAGTGAAGGCTTCTTTAATACCTTGCATCCTCTCATTAGAACCACAAGATAAATAATCTCTATTTTAACTAAACTGATGAGCCAAAGTCACTTGTAAGTGGGCCTCTCAACTTTCATGCATAAAAATTGGAAGGCCAGCAGTTCTACATCTTGTATATTAACACCCCCAAGACCTTCCTTCATACATCAGTCTCAGTTTTTCATATATCATCCGACAGAGCATTTACTAAATGGTGCCACTGTCCTACATACAGGTGGGCAAAAGTAGGGTTACTGTTGTGAATACACAAAACACAGTTTATTCTTGTGTTATTATTTCCTAATTAATGTATAATTTTCCATACAAACAAATGTAAACCTACTTTTACCCTACCCTGTATCCTATATAATAAAAGCCTAATATGCTAAGTGTCCAGTCGTCCAGTTGCCATTCAACCAATCAAAGCATAATATGCTAATGATATGCTAAGGCTGCTCAACCGCTTGCTGAGGCGTGCACTGACCACCAGGGGCAGGCAGTCAACCGGTTGACCAGTTGCTATGACATGCACTGACCACCAGGGGACAGATGCTCCGACCGGTAGTTAGCATGCTGCTGGGGTCCAGCATGATTGGGACTGAGCACGATGGGCCGGACATGCCCTGGAGCCCTTCTATGGTCCCTCCCCGGTTGGCCAACCTTCTGCGTCCCTCCCTGGCCCCGATCATGCACTGATGGGGTCCCTTGGCCTGGCCTGCTCCCTCTTGCAATCTGGGACCCCTCGGGGGATGTCGGGGAGCCAGTTTCAGCCCGACAGTGGAACGACCCATCGCTATGACGTGCACTGACCACCAAGGGGCAGACACTTAACACAGGAGCTGCCCCCTGGTGGTCAGTGCGCTCCGAGAGGGGAAGCACTGCTCAGCCAGAAGCCGGGCTCACAGCTGGCAAGCACAGCAGTGGTGGCGGGAGCCTCTCCCGCCTCTGCAGCAGCGCTAAGGATGTCCAACTGACGGCAGAGGGAGCGGGCCTAAGCCGTCAGTTGGACATCTCCTGAGGCCTCCCGGACTGCAAGAGGGCGCAGGCCGGGCTGAGGGACCCCCACCCAAGTGCATGAATTCGTGTACCAGGCCTCTGTTTTTGTATAAAGACAGATACAGTGGAGTTTCATGATTTGATTTTAATGTGTTTATGTGCTTATTTTCAATGGATAGATATTTTGACTAGTAGAATTATATAAGGGTTTCTCTAGAAAGAAGTATATATTGCCATTAGTTTTGAAAATGTAGTATATGGCCAGCTTTCTTATTTATTGTTTTATTCTCTTTTTTTTAAAGAGTCAACACAGACTGTCCAAGCTCTGCAGTATTCAACTGTTGATGGTCCACTAACAGCAAGCAAAGATTTAGAAATAAAAAGTTTAAAAGAAGAAATTGAAAAACTAAGGAAACAAGTAAGAGGTAAATTTCTGTGATTCACTATTAAGTTTAGTAGACTTTTTAAAATATTCTCCTCACACACAAAACATTTATTGAATACTGCATGTGTTACGTGTTATGTGGTATAGGCTATGTGCCAGTGAAGGAAAGCAATTAAGAATGGTTTCTGCTTTCAGGAGCTCACATTTTGGTCTGGGAGCGAGATCAACAAATCGTTTTTGCAATGCATGTGTGCAGGCTATCAGAAAAATAGAAGTAGGTGCATGGAGAGTGCCTAGGAGGAGCGCCTCACCCAGATTTCAATTAACAAAGATGACTTTTTGGAAGACCTATTAGTTTGGAATATTTAATTGGAATTTGTCTGGTAAGGTATATGTATGAGTAGGCGAAAGAGTGTTAGACATGAGGAAGGACAAACAAGGGAATTGCATGTATGCAGGCATGAAGGCATGTGAAATTTTATTTTTTGGTAACTTATTTTTCAGTGTATTACTGAGATAGATGAAAATTAATTTTGACAATTCTTGATATACCTATTATATCCATTCATTTACTTATTTCATTCATTTAACAAATACTTATTGAGCACCTACTATGTGTACCAGATGTTGTTTTAGGCTCTCGGGATTCTAGAAGGGACAAGAGCTTAAAAAATAGAGCAGAATAAGGGTTGCAAGTGCACGATGAGTTCTATAATTTTAAGTAGGTCCCAGTGTAAGCCTCATTGAGAAGGCGACATGTGAACAAAAACTTGAAAATGGATAGGGACTTAGCCATGCACTTGAATTGGGAACTTATGTTCCAAGGAGAAGGACCAGCCAGTGCAGGGCCACAGAGTCAGAATGAGCCTCTTGAGTTGAGATAAAACACAGAGGACAGCATGGCTGGCGTAGGATGAGCAGCAGGGAGAAGGAAGGAGGCGAGGTTGGGGAAGTAAAGGGGCAGAGGGCTTTTGCCTGGTCAGCAGAGTCTTACTGAGTGTTTTAAGAGCTTTGGATTTGTTCTGAGTGAAATAACCTTTCTCAGGGTTTAGAGGCATCCATGATCTCAATGGGTTTAGAGAGAGAGCAGTTTGTTGTATGTTGATAACTTTCTTCTCCCTATTCATTATGTAATTGTTTTAAGTATTCCTCTTCACATGTTTTAGAAGCACATCAGACAAGTTTATAATGTTTCCTTCCATCATGAAATATAATTTAGAAAACTGTAGAGAAGAAAAAAATTCAATTGTATTTACCGTATTTTTATATGCCATGTTCTTCCTTCCTTCCTGAAATTGCTGAGTTCTTGTTTGCTTTCTGTTTAGAGAGCTTCCTTTAGCCATTTTTAAAAGGTGGGCCTGCTAACAAATTCTTAGTTTTTCTTCATCTGAGAATGTCTTAAATTCCCCCCTCATTCCTAAGATATGTTTTTGCTGGGCATATGATCTAATGTTTCTCTAGTATATTTTATTGATTTTTTACAGAGAGGAAGGGAGAGAGATAGAGAGTTAGAAACATCGATGATAGAGAAACATCAATCAGCTGCCTCCTGCACACCCCTTACTGGGGATGTGCCCACAACCAAGGTACATGCCCTTGACTGGAATCGAACCTGGGACCCTTCAGTCCGCAGGCCGATGCTCTATCCACCGAGCCAAACCAGCCAGGGCTCTCTAGATACTTCTTAAGCAAAACCTTTGTGTAAACACATTTCCCACTGTTAAGGTTTTTATGTCTTTTCTTTACTGTGGCAACATTTTCTTTCTTTTTTTTAAATATATTTATTTCAGAGAAGAAGGGAGATAGAAAATCAATGATGAGAGAGATTCATCATGGCCCTTACTGGGGATGGAGCCTGCAACTTGGGCATGTTCCCTGACTGGGAATCAAATCGTGACCTCCTGGTTCATGGGTACTCACCATTGAGCCACACTGGCCAGGTGGCAACATTTTCCAATATTTTAAAACTCCTAGAGTATTTTAATCCATAGTAATAAAAGCATAATATGCTAATTAGACTGGACGTTCTTCCAGACACAGCCACAGTGGGCGGGGGCCAAGGCAGCCACTGCGGTGGCAGGGGCCAAGCCCCGTGCACGAATTCCATGCATTGGGCCTCTAGTATATTTATAATTATTTACAATTTCACTTTAGTATCTGTTCTCTTCATTATACTCTGACTTTAAGAAGGTAGGACAGAGTTTCCTGGTACCATATAATGGACACTTAATACATCTTCTTTAACTATCTGTAGACAAAAAAGAAATTCATACTCTCATTTAATATTTTTATGAGAAAACGAAGAAAATGGATTTTGTTTTTTTTAGTAAAACATTTTTGTAACCTATAATGTGCTTTATAACACCATTCTTTTATTGCCTTGATGTTGGTGGTTTGTGGCTCCATGTACTGTCTCTCCAACCCTAAACTAATTCTTTCCCTCTCTCTGTCTCTCTTCCCTACTCTCTCCTCCTCTCCCCACCTCTCTCTTCTAACTTATGTAGGTAAAGGAGAAATACAGTGAATGGGTAGGGCAATAATAGATGTCATATCCACCATGACTAGAAGTAAAACCTCATCTCAGAGGAGTTAGGAATCATTTTAGGAGTAAGAACATAATGGAAAAGCCATGGCATTATGCTCTTGCGGATCGGAGAGTGGTGCTTTGATTGTCGTACTAATCTCCCTCTGGCCCCAGTCTTAGCCCCTTTGCAATTTACAAAATGCAACTTTACATACATTTTCAGAAACTTGAAAAACAACTATACTATCCATAAAAGTATTTAGACTTTCAAAACACCTAAGATGAATAAGCTTTTAGCAAGTCTATAACTTTAGGGTACTAAATAGTAGTAAATTACTGAACTTAAGAAATCTTGAACCAATTAGTGTGTGATACACTGATACATTTAAGTGACTTTTTGGCTATAGGACTTGTCTATACAAATGAAATATTTACTCTTTAATTGGACTAAGGTAGTATAAATGCTACTTTATTTACTGAGGCTATAAAACTCAACAATGTACAATCATTTGTGCATTGGTTCTCATACTTTAATTTACAGTGTGATCCTGTGAAAGTGCAGATTCTGATTCAGTGGGTTTGGAGTGGGGCCTGAGACCCTGCATCTCTAACAAGCTCCCAGAGGATGCTAGTGCTGCTTGTCTGGGGCGAACTCTCCGAGTAACAAGGGTGTAAAGAACAGAAACTATCCTGAACAGAATTAGCAAGGAGTATGTTTTGATTTTTCTGTTTAAATGGCTTCAGTTCTTTAAATAGAAACATTTTATACCAATTTATTAAATACTAGAGGCCTGGTGCATGAAAATTCATGCACTCGGTGTGGGGGTCCCTCAGCTCGGCCTGCGCCCTCTCACAGTCCAGGACCCCTCGGGGGATGTCCACCTGCTAGTTTAGGCCCACTCTCCAGGGGATTGGGCCTAAGCTGGAGTCAGACATCCCTCTGGAAGCCCAGAAGCCCTCAAGGGATGTCCCACTGACAGCGGGCCTAAGCCACAGTCGGACATCCTTAGCGCTGCAGAGGAGGCTGGAGAGGCTCCCGCTATGGCCGCTGCACTTGTAGCCCTCAGCCCAGCTTGTGGCTGAGTGGAGCTCCTCCTATGGGAGCACAGTGACCACCAGGGGGCAGCTCCTGCATTGAGCATCTGCCCCCTGGTGGTCAGTGTGCATCATAGCGACCGGTCTTTCCCAGTCATTCCACCATACAGTCAATTTGCATATTACCCTTTTATTATATAGGATTATTTAAACATATACTAAATATAATTTAATTTTTTTCATAATAAATCTTTTTAACTGGTAATGTTAAACATTATTTAATAATATTACTTTCTGAATCGCGGAGGTTGATGCAAGAATTCTGGTCTCAGATGTGATATTCCTTTAGCAATAGGACCCTCAGCGTGTTCTTCAACTCCCTTGAGCCTCAGTTTTTTCATCTGAAAAATAGAGGAATGGACCTCAATTAGAGGTTTTCAAATACTTACTTTCAGAAATCAGAGTTTAGTCTTCAGTCATCACTAGGTAAACCAAGCTGCATGTTCTAGAACAGGGGTGGGCAAACTTTTTGACTTGAGGGCCACAATGGGTTCTTAAACTGGACCAGAGGGCTGGAACAAAAGCATGGATGGAGTGTTTGTGTGAACTAATATAAATTCAAAGTAAACATGATTACATAAAAGGGTACGGTCTTTTTTTTTTTTAGTTTTATTCATTTCAAACAGGCCGGATCCGGCCCGCGGGCCGTAGTTTGCCCACGGCTGTTCTAGAACCACAGTATTAGAAGCAAAATCATTTTATAATGACTTGACTAACATCAGCACACTAATGCCAACCAACAGGAGAGGAAAACTTGTCTGTTTTATTTGTTTGGCTGGTTTTGTTCTGTTTTGTTCCTTGTAAGCTTTTAGCTGGTTCTAAAGGTATTATTTTATTAGAAGCACGGTCTTTTATTCTAATGGATGTGTAAGGCGGTTTGCACATCTTCACACTGGTACCAGCTCTTCCCCATCTTTACAGTGATAAGCATTTAGTTGTCAGAGTCACAGTGAATGTGGTGCCAGGAAGCCTAATACCAATTCAAAATATATTTTTTTAATTTAGTTGTTTTAAACTTTGGTTTTAAGCATTTGCTTTTATACAAATAGTAAAAGAAATACTGTCTTCTCTTTAGAATCCAGTCAGTTGGAACAACAACTTGAAGAAGCTAATTCAGTGAGGCGAGAACTAGACGATGCTTTTAGACAAATCAAGGCTAATGAAAAACAAATCAAAACATTACAACAAGAAAGAGAAGAATTAAATAAGGTAAAAAATATAGATAGGTTGTTAAAGCCTTTTCTGAATTCTCAATCTTGTTTAATTTGTATACTGAAAGCATTTATATTGAATTGTACTAATATATAGCAGATGTTATCTGTAAAAAGTTGGTTTAAAAATTTAGCAATTATTTTGGTGTATGTCATTTGATTAATGGCTGGTAATGAAAATCTTATATTCTTGAGGCTTTAAAATTCTTAATCTTTTTTTTTCTTTTGGAAAGTTACTAATCAACAGATTTGATTAAAAGTGAATGTTACTTAAAAAGAAATATGAAGAAATAAGAGAATAGTAAAAATCAGTATAATGTCTGTGGAAAAATAAAAATAGAGGCGCATTTTCATTATGACTTGCTAATACCAACGTTCCTAAAAGATTATAATTGAAAATTTCTTTAAAAAATATATTTCTTTATTGATTTAAGAGAGGAAGGAAGAGGGAGAGAGAGATAGAAACATCAATGATGAGAGAGAATCATTGATCGGCTGCCTCCTGCACTCCCCCTACTGGGGATCGAGCCCGCAACCCAGGTATGTGCCCTTGGCCGGAATCGAACCTGGGACCCTTCAGTCCACAGACCGACGCTCTATTCACTGAGCCAAACTGGCTAGGGCAGAAAATTTCTTTAATGCTTTAAAAAAAATTTTAAATGTCAGTTTATCTTTCAAAGTGTAGATAAACAAACTAAAGTTATTTTCATAAGGACTTGGTGTAACCCTTAAACAGTATTATAAACATCAACAAAATGTTTTAATAGCTAGGACACTGAAACAGCCTAATAGGGTAAGTAATATTCAAGCTCTAGAGAAAAATACTTTACTTAAACCACATTCTGTGGGAACTTTGCCTTTCATTGACTTATTTTTTTAAATATTAGAATTAATACTAGCCAATGCAAAAAAGAAATAAGTGGCTTATGATGTAGTAAAAATTGAATTCAATGATGTAGTATATAATAATTGATTAATAGCTAGTAATGAAAAACTACTAAATTATTGTACATAATTATTATATTATAATTATATATATTAGTTGCCCGTATGGGAGGCAAAAAATCAGTGTGCCTCTCTCACATCAATGTTTCTCTCTCTGTGTCTCTCTCTCCCACCTCCCTTCCACTCTCTCTTAAAAAATCAATGGAAAAAATATCCTCGGGTGAGGATTAACAAAACAAATATAATAATAACTACTTGGCTCCCTGTGTGCCAGTTTGTTCTGGGCCAATGCAGTGATTGCTGGGTGGGTAAAACCTTGCACACAGACAGTCTGTGCTGTGGGTGAGGACCCCGCCTGTGAGTCAGGGTTTGTGTACAGAGGAGAGAAGCAAACGCTTCCTGCTCCCCCATCTCCACCCAACCGTTTGAACCCTCCTTGGGAACCTAAAGAGAAGGATCAGGACACTGGAATATAGACACCGTCCAGTGGGAAGCTGCCCGGAGTCCCCAGCTTCATAGAGAGGGTAGCTCCCTGGTTCAGGCTCTTCACTGCGTCCAGGAGTTAAAGCTCTTTGGCTTTCTCACCATCTAAATTACTCATAAACTACTCTAAAAGGCTTGCTTAGGTCCCAAGTTTAAGTCAGATTTGCTTAGAAAGGCTTAACTGTGCAAAAACATAAAAATATTTTCTCTATAGCCCCACGTTCTTTTTATCCACAAACATGCTTATCTCTCCAGATCATTAAGTCTTTTTAAATGTTTGTCTGTAAATTTTTATACAGGTCCTGTTTGCTTTTCCTTAAATTTATTATTCTCTGTTTCTTCACATTTTAGATAGTATCTTAAGAAATTACATGTTCTTATTGATAGTGTTGTAGCAATATTGCTTAACTGTTATTAATTGTAATAACATATTTGAGATTCTTTAAAGTTTTCTGCAAATAATGACAGAAATTATTTAAAATTTTTAAATTTTTTAAAAATTTTTATGACTTTTCTTTCTTTCCTTGTCTTACTGTATTAGCTTGGACCTCTAGTACCATGTCAAATAGAGGTGGTACTAGCAGTCATTTCTGTCTTATTCCTGATTTCAAAGAAAATGCTTTTAATATTTCACCACTAATAATAATGTTTCTCTATGTTTTTGTTAACTCTTTTGTTCCTATTTTGCTAACCATTTTTATAAAAAATGAGTATTGATACGATTGTTCTCCTTTAATAAATTGGTGTGCTGAATTATATTTACAGACTTTTTAAATGTTAAACCACTTCTTCATTTGTGGATTAAACAGAAATTATCCATGTATTAGCTTCTAAATAACATGATAGTATAGGTAACACACAGCATGTCTTCTAATAGCACTGTTTTAAGTGCTTTATATATATTAGATCATTTAATCTTTATAAGTACCCTGTGATTTGGGTGATGGTATTATTATTCTCACTTTACAGATGATAAGACTGAGCACAGAGAAGTACATTTGTTCAAGATTATAGTAGAGCTAGGAAGTGGTAGAGCTGGAATTTCAACACAACTCTAATTCTAGAGTTTATGTTTTTCACTTTATACATCATTAGAACTGATTTGCTAATGTCTTTTTTTCTGAATTTTTAAAATTTGTTTTCATCAGTAAGATTATCTTGTAATTTTCTTCCTTATCTTTCTGGTCTTTCTGAAGTGAATTAGTTATGCAAATAATAATAATAAAACCTTGAGAGTATTTGCTTAGGAAGTTTTCAATATTCAGGAAGTTTTCAATATTCAGTATTTTTGGAAGTGTCAATGAAGTACTGTTCTGACCGGTCAGACCGGTCATAATAATCTGGCCACATTAGTGATTTCAGAGAGCAAGGGAGTGGGAAAGATAGAGACAACAATGATGAGACGGAATCATTGATGGACTGCCTCCTGCATGCCCCCTACTGGGGATTGAGCCCACAACCCAGGCATGTGCCCTGACTGGGAATCAAACTATGTCCTTCTAGTGTATGGATCATCACTCAACCACTGAGTCATACCAGCTGGGCTTTCTGGGCTTTTCTTTTTTCTTAAATATATTTTTATTGATTTCAGAGAGGAAGGGAAAGAGATAGAAACATCAGTGGTGAGAGAATCATTGATCAATTGCCTCCTGCACGCCCCCTACTGGGGATCGAGCCCGCAACCCAGGCCTGTGCCCTTGACTGTAATTGAACCTGAGATCCTTCAGTCGCAGGCCGATGCTCTATCCACTGAGCCAAACCAGCTAGGGCTGGTCTTTCCTTGATATCAAGATCATACTGGTCCCTTAGAATGAATGAGGTAGCATTGCCTCTTTTTCTGTTCTCCGAAAACGTTTGTATAAGAGGAACATTTTGTACCTTTTAAACATTGGAGGAATCAGTTGTAAAACCATGTGAGCTTGGAGATTCTCTTCTGCTGGATGGATGGGAGAAAGTTTATTGATTTAGTTACTTTAATTGTTATAGGACTATTCAGGCATTTTATTTATTCTTGAAACCACTATTGATAAATTAAAATTTTGTAGGCATTTGTTCATTTCATAAGGTAACAAAGTTTTTCATTGTGTTCTTTTATTATCTTTTTTGATCTCTCCTAGATTTGTAGTTATAACCTCTGTTAATTTTTTGGGGGTGAATTTATTTTTATTCCCTTATTTGATCTCATCAGATGTTTTTCTATTTGTTTTTTAATGAACCAACTTTTGGTTTTGTTGATCTTCATTATTCTCACATTTCTTTTTTCATTAATTTATGCCCTTTATCTTCTCATATTTGGGGGAAAGGTTAATGTGTTATTTTTTCTTCAATGTGGAATTTCATTGCATTTCAAGCATCTTTTTAGTTTCAATATAAGTTATTTCAGGCTTACAACTTTTCTATTTTACTGCCTCTTCAGGTTTTAGTATGTACTAAATATTTTTACTTATTTGCATTTTTTATTATAGATAATTTAGTTCTTTTTTGATTTTTCTTTTTGACCAATGAATTATTATGGAATTTAGCCTTTAATTTTTTTTATCCTCACCCAAGGATATGTTTATTGATTTGAGAGAGAGACCAGAAAGATCAGTTTGAGGGGGAAACATTGATCAGTTGCCTCCCATATGCACCCTGACAAGGGATTGAATCTGCAGCCTTTTGGTGTAAGGGATGATGCTCCAACCAATTGAGCCACCCAGCCAGGGCTAGCCTTTTAATTTTTTTACTCCTATTTTAATGATAATGTTGTTAAAAGAACTTAATCTGTATGATATCTGTCCTTTTGAATCTGCTGAAACTTGCTTTACGGCCTAGGCCCGTGGTTGGCAAACTGCGGCTCGCGAGCCACATGCGTCTCTTTGGCCCCTTGAGTGTGGCTCTTCCACAAAATACTGACTTCTGCGCATGGGCCACAAAGTTTCAATCGCACTGTACGTGCACGCCCACACGTGGTATTTGTGGAAGAGCCACACTCAAGGGGCCAAAGAGCCGCATTTGGCTCGAGCCGCAGATTTGCTAAACCCGGGCCTAGGGCTATAACATTTTTAAATGTGTCAATAATTGCTGGAGAAGAATGTGTGTTCCCCAGTAGTGGGTGCAAACTTCTGTATATGAAGCTTGTTAATTGAGCTTTTCAAGTCTTTTTTATATGCATAGATATCCATTAAATATCACAAAATCTCTATTTTGACCATTACATCTTATATTCCTACACTCTTTAGTTATTTGTAGGAACCAGGGTATTAGAAGGTTAAATCTACTGTTCCTTTGCAGTTAGCATTTTAGCATAAAGAATTGAGAATATGAACAGAGTGCCATGCTCTGAATATCTGTTCAGAAGTAATTCATTTCATTTTATCCTAAGGTGAATAATTTTGGCTCTTCTTGATTTCATTATAGCAACTTTGATGGCCAAATTTGGTTCATAGGTTGCAGAATTGGTAACTTATATTCTTTTTACAAAACTGTAGGAACTAGTCCAGGCTAGTGAGCGATTAAAAAACCAATCCAAAGAGCTGAAAGACGCACACTGTCAGAGGAAACTGGCCATGCAGGAATTCATGGAGATCAATGAGCGGCTAACAGAATTGCACACCCAGAAACAGAAACTTGCTCGCCATGTCCGAGATAAGGAAGAAGAGGTGGACCTGGTGATGCAAAAAGTTGAAAGCTTAAGGCAAGAACTGCGCAGAACAGAAAGAGCCAAAAAAGAGGTTAGTAGTCAGGCAAAGTTTGTAGTGTCCACGCGGTAGTGCTTAAAGCTGCCTTTTCAGACTAGTGAAATAATATTGACTTCATTCTCGAACTTTTCAAAAAGGTTATTTTTTTAGTTTGGTAATATTATTTAATATGAATTTCAACATTTGAGTTATCTTCTTGTTACAAGGTAAATTCCCTGGGGAAAAACCATTTTCTTGGACATACAGTTAGAACCTTGAATCTGCTTTTTTTCATTGTATGTTAAAGCTGGAAGTTCATACAGAAGCTGTAGCTGCCGAAGCGTCTAAAGACAGGAAGCTGCGTGAACAGAGCGAACACTATTCTAAGCAGCTGGAAAACGAACTGGAGGGACTGAAGGTAGCGTTTGCGTTCACATTTGTGAAGCGCGGTTTTCTCCTCCGTAGGCTTCAGAGGAGTGTTAGTGATGTGCTCTCTCTGGTGGGGAGCAAAAGTTAGCTCTCCTTCCCACCTCGGATCCTAATTCCCATTTTTACCAGTCGGAAGCTGATAACGACTTCCTAATCGAGGTGGAAGGCAGTGAAGACTATGTTTAGTGGGAAGAAATGATCTGCCAGGAGAGAGTTAAAATATTTATGCAGGGCTGCTCCCCGGACAAGACCCACTGGTCACTTGCATGGGGGGCTTGGCTAGGTCTCCACCCCTCTCTCTTGGAAGTGACCTGGTGTGGCTCGCAGGAAGCTTTGCAGACACTTCTGTTAGGTGCGATGGATCATCTGGGGATGGGCTGACGCATCTCCTTATTACTGAGAGTACATTTCAACCAAATTTCTAAAAAGGTGGCTTTCAGTCAAATTTCTTCTCCTGAATGCCCGACCTGAATGCAGAGACCTATCATTTTCCTCGAGTGAATATGAAGACATTAGATTAGACCTCGTCACTTCTCCCCGGACACTGGAGAAGTCCCCTCTCTTTTCTTTTTGTACATTCTAGCTCTACCACCCCCTCCCCCAATTTAATCTTTTAAAAACACAAACATATTTATTACCTTTTATTGGTTCCACATCAGAAACAAGATGCAGGTAGATTTTTTTTTCTTATTCCATACACCAACAATATTTGTGTATAAAACTAAAACTTTAAGTGTGAAACAAATAATTATGTAAGTACCAGCAGAAAATACAGATATGTAATCTTGTTGTGAAGAAGACTGTAAGATACACAATAATAAAGGAATGTACAAAGAAAAATATTGTAAAGTGGCAGATAGGAGATTAATAGCCTTTAATAAAGAATTATTTTATGTGATAATATAAAAATACTATTAAAGCTATATGAATAGTCTTTTTTAGTGTAGAAATAAGTTATTTAATATGTTATTCTTATATATGAACTAATCTTTTATTTTTTTTATAGCAAAAACAAATTAGTTACTCACCAGGAGGGTATAGCATAGAACATCAGCAAGAGATAACTAAACTAAAGACAGATTTGGAAAAGAAAAGTATCTTTTATGAAGAAGAATTATCCAAAAGAGAAGGAATACATGCAAATGAAATTAAAAATCTAAAGAAAGAATTACATGACTCAGAAGGCCATCAACTTGCTCTGAACAAAGAAATTATGATTTTGAAAGACAAATTGGAAAAAAACAGGAGAGAAAGGTAAGAATCTAATTATTTACTCCTCTAATAAATGCCTGGCGTGTGCCCGGACTGGAGCTATGCAGGCAATAAACGTGCTCCATGCTCAAGAGGACCAAAGTCCAGACTGGTAGATAGAAAGTCACAGGACGGCACAATAGGAAAGCAAGTGGGCTGTGGAGGAGCATCCCCACAGGAGAAGCACAGATGACCAGTACATCTAAGTTTTTTGGACAAAATGATTTCTAGGTTAAGACCAAAGAAATATATATCTGTAGAAGAGTGTCCAAGCAGGACAGCAGCATGTGCTGGAATCTAGAGGAGAAGGGGAGCATGGCACATTCAGAAAATGAAAGCTGTTCGTTGTGAAAACATGAAAAGGAAGGTGAGAGTGGTGAGAAATGCTGCTAGAAAGGAAAATAGAGGCAAGCTCATGAAGGAGTGTAAGTTACTTGGACTTTATTCAAAGGCCAGGACAATTATGTGATTGTTATTTATATTTTCAAGCAATCGCTCTTGCACCTGTGTGGAGAATGGGTTGGAGGAGCAGACAGCAGATAGGAGCCTAGCTGTGAGAGACGAGGTCGCTGGACCTTAGGCAGTGAAGTGAAGATGGAGAGAAGTAGACAGAACTTAGAGGACATAATGACCAGAGGTGAGAAATGAGGAACAGGAGACAATCAGTGGTACTCTGGTGTCTAGATTTTAGGCAACTAAGTATAGATATTATTCTCAATTTATATTAGAAACCTAAGTTTATTCATTTTGGTACATTCATTCAATGTACATAGTAGGTTTTAGAACCTACTATGTGCAAAGGCACTGGGAACATGGCAGTGAACAGACAAAAACTTCTGTCCTTATGGAGCTTTCCTTTAGTTATGGGGAAAGACTACAGGCAATAAGTAACATACCAAACATAATCAATAATGAGAAATGTCAAGAACAAAAAATAAAGCAGAGGATGCTATGAAGCATTAAGGGGAAGAATTTAATTATATAAATATACTAGAGGCCCGGTGCACTAAATTTATGCACGGGTGGGGTTGCTAGGCCTGGCCAGCAATCAGGGCCGATCAAGTTCCCCGCCTGCCTGCCTCTCCCCCTCCTCCTTCCCTCGCCACCCACATCCACTGCCACCCACCCCCAGGTCCCCATCCCAGCCTGGGGTCTGGCCCCGATCAGGTGATTGGGACCTGCCAGCTGGGTTGGAGGGACTGGGATGTTGGCCAGCAGGCCTTATCGGCAATTGGGGCCTGCAGGCTGGGGGCAGCTCTTGCATTGAGCATCTGCCCCCTGGTGGTCAGTGTATGTCATAGCCACCAGTCGTAACGGTCGCTTAGGCTTTTATATATATAGATCTATAGGATGGCCGGGAGAATTATACTAAGAAGGTGATTTCTCAGTGAGGACTGAAGACAGTGGGGGAGGTATCTCTACAGATGTATGAGAAGAACATTTCACATGGAGAAGAACAGTCTGTTAAAAACAATAATGAGAAGGCAAAATTATAGAGACAGTAGAAAGATCAGTGGTTTCCAGAGGCTGGCGGGAGGGGTGAATAGGCAGAGGATTATTAGGACAGTGGAACTATTCTGTATGAGGCTATTATAGTGCATACATGTCATCAGCATTGGTCCAGGCCCTAACAATATACAACACCAGCACTGAGCCCTAATGTGAACTATGGGATTGGGTGGTGATGAAGCACTAATGTAGGCTCATTGGTTGTGACACAGGCACCACTCTGGGGAGGGATGTTGATAGTGGGGACAGGAGGGATATGGGAAGGCTCTGTATTTTCTCTCAGTTTTGCTGTGAACGAAAACTACTCTAAAAAATAAAGTCTGTGTGGTAAGGAACAACAATAAGGAGGCCAGTGTGCTGAAGCAGAGTTCAGGGGAAAGAATGTAGGAGAGGCAACGGGGGCCAGGTTTCCCAAGACTCTGTAAGTCGTGTTCATTTGACTGCTAGTTATTCGTGTTCATTTGACTGCTAGTTATTTACTCGGAGTAAAACCATGGAAGGAAAGTATTGCAGGACTTTGAGCAGAAAATTGACAAATTTGATTGTATTTTAACAGGATTACTGTGACTACTGAGTTAAGAATAGTTTGAATTAGATAAGAAAAAATGCAGTGAAACCATTTAGAAAGCCATTAAAATAATCCAGGCAAACGATGATGGTGGCTTGGGCCTAGCATGGTGGCAGAATTGGTGGTAAGAAATGTTTGAATTCCGTTATTCTTGAAAGGTCAAGATAATGGTATTTCTGATGGAGTAGATATGGGGTGAGGAAAAAAGAGGAGCAATCAAGAATGATACCAAGGTTTTGGCCTTAGCAACGGGAGAACACAGTAAGAGAGGAGGAGTACAGGAGAAGCAAGTTTGGGATGTATTGTCAGGAGCTCATTTTAAACAAGTTATGTTTGAGATGCGTATTAATTAGTCATCCAGGAGGAGATGTGCAGTAGGCCATTGTGTAGCACAGCCTGAATTTCAGGGCTAGAAATAAAATCCTGGGAATATTCATCACTCACATTACATTTAAAGTGGTGAGACTGTGAGATGAGTTAGTGTACTGAGTAAAGATAGAAGAGAGGTCCTAGGACTGAGCACTGCGGCACTCCAGTCTTTAGAAGTTGAGGAATGAGGAAGAAACATCAAAGACAGAGAAATCGTAGCAAGAATGATAGGAAGAAATCCAGGCAAATTCGGTGTCCTGGAAGCCATGTGATGAAAACATATCAAATCTGTTTGCATGTCAAATGAGATGAAGTTTGTATCAAATAAAATGAGGTCCAAGTAATGCCAATTGAGTTTAACAATATGAAGATCATTGGTGACTTTGATAGGAACAATTTCAGTGGAACAGTAAGGGCCAAAACCCTACAGTGGGATCCAAAGACTTGAAGGAGAACATTTGGAGACAGAGACTATAGACACCACTGTTATTACCTGGAGTCTTTTATTTAAAAGCAAGCAGTGCAGTGAGGTAGCAGCTGGAGGAGAAATTTATCTCAAAAGAAGTTATTTGATTTTTGTTTTTAGGTGGGAGAAATAACACCAGATTTATAATCTGAAAGAAATTATTCAATAGATGACAGAGGAGTGAGGAGAAAGTGTCAGAGCAGTGTGTTTGAGCAGATACATAAGTAACGGGGTTGGCCTCAGCTACGTTTTCAGCTGTAGGAAGAGAAGAGAAAGTGGTGTGTGTGGGCACAGAGGGAGGCAGGCGGGTGGGAACGTGTTATGTGCTGAGCTCTCTTGAGTCGGGCATATTGAACTTGAGGTGCCTGGGAGACATCTTTGTGGAGATAGCAAGTCAGAAGTTTGAAGCCCAGAAAAGCTTCAGAAGTAAATTCAGAGTTTGTCAGCGTAATGGAGAGTAAGTGACACAGTACTGGGCTGGATGAGATGCTCAGGGAAAGGTGTACATGAGAGGAGTCGAGCTCCGGACACACAACACCTGGAGCATTGGCATATGGAAGGGAGCCGGGAGTTCATAAAGGCAGCTGGAATCAGGAGCGTGTGTCACTGAAGCCAGGGGAAGCCAACCTTTCAAGAACAGGACTAGACAGCACTGTCAGAGGTTGGATATAGTAACAGTGAGGACGGATGAGTTTGAGAGAGCACTTCTTTTGAGGGGGTGCAGCAGAAGCAGGTTTTGGTGTGGTGAGGAGCGGTTAGGCAGAGAGTGGGTACGGCGAACTCTCTCAAGATCTCAGGGGGTTACCGGGGAACGAGAGACCAGGAAAGTGGAAAATGAAGTGCATCCTGGAGTTTAGGGGAGAGCTTGTTTATTTTGTTTTAATATAGAGGAGACTTAAGTTTTGTTTCATGCTAATAGACTAAACAATAATGGTTTTACATAGAAATTGTACTCTATTTATTTGATTTATTTGCATACATATTTTTCTGAAAGGAGACCTTTTTGTAATTTTTCATGTTTCTGTCATTTGTTGTTTGGAGTTGATGCTGAATCAAATGTTCTTAAATATAACAGATTCACATTGTGACTATAGATAATAAGGAAAGTGGTATATTTGCTTGGATACAGGATGGTTTATTTTCCTGGAATTTATCATTTAAATTATTATTTAGTCTATTTTAGTAATTTAGTAGTGCAAGGGATTTTTAAAAAATTACTTCAAAAAAATTTTAAAGGGATTACATTTTAAAAATCAAAATTATGTTCTTTGTTGAATCATATAAAATTACCCAGAACTGATCCACATTGAATTTCATTTGCTGTTACTAACATCCTCCATCAAACTGCTGTAGATAAGCTTCTTTATCTACATTTCTACATCTTGTTATGTAAAAACTGATTCTCCTTTCTCCCTTATGAGGTTTTTAAAAGTCGGTTAGAACTGTGTTTACTTCTAAGGGGAATTATAGTTCTGCCCCCAGAACTATAATTTAAAGTAAACTTTATAATATTAAATTTGAGTATGGTGTATGTATATATGTGTATGCAGGTAGGTACTTAGATTAAGAAGGAAAGAAGGAAGTGAACACAATCCAGGAGTCTACTAATCATAGATCTCTTCCTCAATTTTCAATTGAAAAACAAAGTAGATGCTATTAAGCAGACAAATCCATTTGTTATTTAAAAGGCAGTGATTCTGATTTTTACCTTTAAGGGAAAAGATTGGGATTTGGAATAGTCAAGATGTAAGTGACTTTCCAGGATAAAACTATTGGTGCAATAGCCCATCTGGGACACCATAATTTGACCTTTAATTCTATTCCTTTTTTTTTCTTTTATTTTTTGAATTGTGTTAGTCAAAGTGAAAGGGAAGAATTTGAAAATGAGTTCAAACAACAGTATGAACGAGAAAAGGTGTTATTAACTGAAGAAAATAAAAAACTGACAAGTGAACTTGATAAGGTGAGTGATTGATCTCATTTGCATTCACTGAGCACATTTACATTCTGTCAGCGCTGTAATAGAAACTGTGGGTATAATTTTGTATTTGGGGTACATTTTGTTTGCTATTCCTCCTTATATGCAAGGATGGCTTATTAGCACAGGGTGTTCTCGTTGACCAATCTGTACAGCAGTCTTTTGGAGAGAGGCCATCTCATCTTATGCTTTGTCCCATTTATGTGTTTGTTTGTTTGTTTTAATATTTTTATTGATTTCAGAGAGGAAGGGAGAGGGAGAGAGAGATAGAAACATCAATGATGAGAGTCATTGATCAGCTGCCTCCTACACGCCACACACTGGGGATTGAGCCCACAACCCAGGCATGTGCCCTGACTAGAAATGGAACTGTGACCTCCTGGTCCATAGGTCAACGCTCAATCACTGAGCCATGCCAGCCAGCCCCATTTATGTTGTTGAGTCTCTATTCTTTACTGCACTTCCCATCTGTTCTCTTTTCTTACTCTGTACCTAATATTCATCACTGACCTTTGTCATGGCTAAGTTAAGGCTGGCCTTTAATAAGAGCAGGAACAATTAGGTCAAACTGGAGAAGTTTTGACAACTATAATATACTAGAGGCCTGGTGCATGAATTTGTGAACGGGTGGGATCCCTAGGCCTGGCCGGTGATCGGGTCCAATCAGGGCTGTCTCACCCAGTCCTGATCAGGCCGATGGGGGCCCAGCCAGCCACGGGGAGGGACTGTGGGAGGTTGGCCAGCCACGGGAGGTTGGCTATGGGAGCGCACTGACCACCAGGGGGCAGCTCCTGCATTGATCGTCTGCCCCCTGGTGGTCAGTGCGCATCATAGCGACCAGTCGTTCGGTCAACCAGTCGTAACGGTCACTTAGGCTTTTATATATATAGATTCATGATGGAGGATTGGCAATAGCTAGAAATAATAGTGTTGGTCTGTAAAAATCCAAAGAAACCAACTCTGCCTAAACTCTATACCTTGAACAAAGAGCCAGAACCATAGGTTAAGCTTGTAAGTAGCCAGGTCAGTGAACAGAATTTCAAATGCTTGAAGGAATGTTTCCCCATTTAGTATATCAGATATTTGAAATGGCCATCGTCCTGCATTTCTTGTGCCAGCAGCTCTTAACAAACAGTCATAAAAATCCTAATATTAACCAGAATCTTTAGTGCCTGTATGTACATTTAAATAGGGTTTGGATAATTGTGCTTTATAGTGATTTTCCTCCAATAAAAGTATCATGTTCAGTTGTTAGTAATTCCAATAGAAGACTGGAAGACTCTCCATTCTTTCTGTTTCCCATTGTGTTCCATATATATTTTCATTTTTTCTCAATACTTTCCCCAGGATTATTTCGTTTTCTAAGCACTTAAATTTGACTTTGCTCACCCTGGCTAATGAGGCTCAGTTGGTAGGTTGGTTGGGCGTTGTCCTGTGCACCAAAAGGTTGCTGATTTGATTCCAAGTCAGGGCATATGCCCAGGTTTCAGGCTCAATCCATGGTGGGAGATGTGAGGAGGCAGCCAATAGATTTTTCACTTCACATCGATGTTTCTCTCTCTCCCTCTCTCTCTCTCTAAAAATCAGTAAAGATAAAGTTTTTTAAAAAATTTACTTTGCTTGTTTGGTTGAAAGCTACTTAAGAAAGAACTGGTAGCCCTGGCTGGTTTGGCTCAGTGGATGGAGCGTCGGCCTGTGGACTCAGGGGTCCCGGGTTCGATTCCGGTCAAGGGCATGTACCTTGGTTGTGGGCACATCCCCAGTAGGGAGTTTGCAGGAGGCGGCTGATCGATGTTTCTCTCTCATCGATGTTTCTGGCTCTCTATTCCTCTCCCTTCCTCTCTGTGAAAAATCAATAAAAAAAGAAAAGAAGAAAAGAAAGAACTGGTAGTTCATTTTGTCAAGTTTTATAGAGCTGATGTGCACAAGCCCTGGAAAATGGCCTAAGTAGTACAAATGAATTTTAAACTGAATAATGTTATATATATATATATATATATATATATATATATATATATATATATATATATAGTAACTGAATAATGTTACTATATATATATAGTAACTGTTAGTTATTTCTGCTATAATAAAACTAAGTCACATAATTGTTATTTCATACGTTTGACTGATATGACTACAAAATTAAAAAATCATTTCTTTATTTGTGATGAAGGATGAGTAGCACATTGAGAGCAAATTCATATGGTAGGTGAGCATTTAATGACTAGTGATCGCAAGGAAATATTTAGTCCTGCAGAAATAAGGAAGGATTTGGGGTTTTTGCTTCTTTTTTAACTTCTCCACTTTTGCTCCTTTTATTCAGCTTTAGCTTCTTCTTCTGTTTAACTCTCAGTCCACCTAACTGTACATCTTCACTGTTTCTGTCCATTTCTTCATTTTCTGGTTTGGTGTGAGTTGAGTGTTTTCTCCACGAGTGGTAACTAAAGAAAACCTTTGCCGCTGCCGCCCCAGCTGTTCCGGGGGTACCAGCCTGAAGAGAAGTGAGTTTCCTCTTAACAGTTGTTTAGGCCCCAACTGTGCCAACGTGGTGGCACCCGGGTCTTAATCCAGAAAATGTGACCAATGTAACTCGATTCTCAGTTCCGCGAGAACAGGCGTGGTGGGCACAGGCTACTGCGGATGTCCCCGACGGGGATGTCCCAGACGAGGATCGTTCTGCGGCCCAGCCTGAATCTCCGCTCCGCCGGCGGGCTCTCTAGTGCTCGGTTTATGGAGGACAGCCCCACAGGCCGGCAAATCCACCCGCAGAGGAGAATGGCACGGTGCCCTGCGGCGAAAAGCGCCCACCTGAAACCCAGGAGACGCGGTCACCGAGGGGTCCGCCAAGATCGCCTGCCCAGCGCCAACGAGTCTTCCACAACCCAGTGCAGGAGTTCAGCCGGGATCTGGCACGTGCTGTGATCACTGAGTTTGCTCGCATTCATCTTGGGGCCAAAGGAATCCAGATCAAGGTGCCAGGTGAAAAGGAGGTGCAGAAGGTGGTGGTGGGCTTGTCGGAGCAAGAGGAGCACAGGCTGTATTGAAAGGGGGGGCAGACCCGGCCCCTGGACACCAGCCTCCAACAGCCACTGTGGGAGATCTGTGAGGAAGGCCTGCGAGTGCGGGAGGGCCTGGCAGCCTCGGGTCTTCGTTCCATTCACTTTGCCCGAGAGGTGCCTGGGCTCCGATCCGTGGTTGCCAACGATGCCTCTGCCCGCGCTGTGGATCTCATCCGCCATAATGTGCAGCTCAACGAAGTGGCCCACCTGGTACAGCCCAGCCAGGCAGATGCCCGGATGCTGATGCACCAGCACCGGCGGGTGTCGGATCGGTTTGATGTCATCGACCTGGACCCCTATGGCAGCCCTGCCCCTTTTCTGGATGCAGCTGTGCAGGCTGTGAGTGAAGGAGGACATGGCAGTCCTGGCGGGAACAGCGGGGAGACGCTACAGCAAGTACGAGGCCATGGCCCTCCAGAGCCGGGCCTGCCACGAGATGGCCCTGAGGATCGTCCTGCCCAGCCTGGACCTCCGTGCTCACTGCTGTCAGCGCTTCGTGGTGCCACTGCTCAGCGTCAGTGCTGATTTCTAGACACGTGTTTTTTTCGTGTCTTCACCGGCCAGGCCAAAGTCAAGGCTTCAGCCAGCAGTGGGCTCTGGTGTTCCATGTGTGGGCGCCTTGGCAAAGCATCGGGGGCCTCTGGTGGCCGGGTCAAGTTCTCTGCAGCCTGCAGTCCCACTGTGGCCCCTGTGTGTGAGCAGCAGCAACAGCTCCGTGACCCCCTATGGGTGGAGCCAATCCATGACCTGGATTTTGTGGGCCGTGTCCTAGAGTCCATGAGCACCCACCCCGGCCGATTCCATACTTCGGAGCGGATCCAAGGAGTCCTGAGCGTCGTCACCGAGGAGCTGCTGGACATGCCTCTGTACTATACGCTGGACCAGCTGAGCAGCACCATCCACTGTAGCACACCCAGCCTCCTGCAGCTGTGATCAGCCCTCCTCCATGCTGGCTTCCGGGTCTCGCTCTCCCACGCCTGTAAGAATGCTGTGAAGACGGACGCCCCCGCCTCAGCCCTCTGGGACATCATGCGCTGCTGGGAGGAGTGCCCGGTGAAACGAGAGCGGCCATCTGAGACCAGCCCGGCCTCCCGCATTCTCAGTGTGGAGCCCAAGCTACAGGCCAACTTCACCATCGGGATGATGCCAACCCCAGCTCCCGCCAGCGAGGACTCAAACGCTTCCAGGCCAACCCCAAGGCCAACTGGGGTCCACGGCCCCATTCCCAACCAGGGGTAAGGCAGTGGGCAAAGCTATGGAGGACAGAGGCAGATTGCTCCAGAATAAGAGAAAGGAACCAGCTGAGGATCTGGCCCAGTGGGCTGCCCGGCTTAAGACATTTCCTTGCAAGAAGTTTAAGAAGGGCACCTGTCAACGAGGGGACCAGTGCTGTCACTCCCACAGACCCCTGACCCCCGAGGCCACTGCTGAAGCTGTCCCCACTGACTGCCCACAGACCCCCAACCAGAAGCCCCCTGGGTCTGGGGCCACCACTGGTCCAGGTGCAGATTGAGCCAATAAAGAGATTTCACCTTGAAAAAAACACACACACAAAAAAAAACCCACCAGTATTTTAGATATAGAAGCCAAAAAGCAATTATTATGTTAATATTGAAACTTCAATAACTTTTATAACTAATACATTCTCACATTCACATTTTTAAACTCCAAAAATAAAAAGAAAATAGGAAAAAAGTTGATATTTCCAGAAGTCTGCAAGTTTCACTTTTTATTAACTTATTGCAAATAAAATTAGCCATGAATTCCATGGAGTAAAAGTAAATGGTTTCTAGTAAGAAAATACATCATTTGCATCTTGTTTATATTTTACATAAAAGCAAAATTACAAAATATGTGGAAAATGTTCAGCATGAAAGGTACCCATGATGTCATCATCACAAAACAACTGTTCTAATTTTGTTTCTTTTCAAGTTTTGTTTGTATACATATTTATAATAATAAAAGCATAATATGCTAATTAGACCAGACAGCCGAACGACCTTCCAGACAAAGCTGGGGTGCGAGGGCCAGTCCCCTTGCACGAATTTTGTGCATTGGGCCTCTAGTTACTACATAAATGCAGTCATACATACATCCTATTTTAATCTGCCTTTTTCACTTAAAATGTTATGAGCATTTTCCATATTTCTGTGTAGTCTTATAATTATTATGAGCTAGATACATTAAAGTGCAAATAGTAAATTCCCAAACATACAAAATGAACTGATACTTAGGTAAATTGACTCTGTGCTAGTCCTCTTCTGAGTTACTTTATTTGAATAACTTAATTCTCCCAATACCTCTCTAAGGTATACCCTAGTCTCACATTTTATACATGAGGACACTGAGGCAAAGGGAGATTAAGCTACTTTGCTGAAGACTGGTAGTCTGGTTCCAGAGTCCATGCTTTTATTTAGTAACAATGGAAAGATTAACTTTTTTTCTGAATAAATCTATTCAAAACAACTTATAGCTGTTGTAACATGGCCGTGCAAAATCTGCATTTCCTTCTCCTGCAAATCTCCCACCAAAACCCCAACCACAAATTACTTGGAAGGGCTGTCAAAAACAATGGCAATAAAAAAATTTAAAAAAAAAAGATTTGTTGCAGGAATAAGTGAAGACACTGCATCTGCAGAAAACAGTCTCAGAAACAGCTGGTGGACTTGTGGCTCTGCTGGCATGAAGAGATGATGAACCCTCCCACTTGTCAAAGTGCACACTTACCAACAACAGTCACTTCAGGGCCCTTGGAATTAGCCAGCGGAAGACAAAGCACTGCTGAGGTCATTTCAGGAATGTCCAGTCCAGTGGGGAGACACCGTGTTAGTGGGTTGGGCTCATCTCTGTCCTTCTCTCTATAGAATCTTGGTCAGTAAAGTCTTGGCTGCCTTCTTACCTCCCCAATGCCTTTCTGTGGATGAGTATTGTAGGAAGTATTCCTATAGTATGAAAAAATTTAATCCAGTCTCTGATACTCTGTTATAGAATAATTTTTTTTATTTATTTATTTATTTTTTTTTATTGCTTAAAGCATTACAAAGGGTATTACATATGTGTCCTTTTTTTTCCCCCCCGCCCTTGACAATACCCCGGCTTGCCCTACCCCCCAGTGTCCCATGTCCATTGGTTATGCTCATATGCATGCATACAAGCCCTTCAGTTGATCTCTTAAACCCCCTCCCTCCTGCCCCCCAACCCTCCCCGGCCTTCCCGCTGCAGTTTGACAATCTGTGTGAGGCAGCTCTGCCTCTGTGATACTCTGTTATAGCAGCCTGAATGGACTAAGCTAGGAACCTATAAATACAAGACTTGGAAGATCCAGCTACCCCATTAAGCTATGTTTACTGTTGGTGTCATGACTTAATTTAACAAACTTAAGTTTTTTGATATTTTGGGATAACTTTTTGAACAGTTACTACCCATGTGATGATATCCAGAAACTTGTTAAATTTGTTAAATATGATAATATTATGGTTATATTTAAAGAGAGCCTGTTTTCTAGAGCTTTCTATACACAGAAATGTATATAGATAAAATATGATGTCTGGTACTTGGTTCAAAATAATACAGGAGGATGGGTAAGAAAACAGGAGTACAGATGAATTAACATTGACATTGAGTGTGATTAATTGTTGAGCATGGATGATGGGCTCACTTATACTATACATCCATTCTTATATATGCTTGTAATTGTTATACTTTTTTAAAAAAGAAGATGAATAGAAGCATCATACAGACCATCCAACTTCAGAGGGAAGGTGGGGGAGGAGTGAGATATCAATCAAAGGACTCATATGCATGCATATAAGCATAAACGATGGACACAGACAGTAGGAGGCTGAGAGCATGTGCTGGGGGGAGGGGTGGGAACGACCAGGAAAGGTCAGTGGCGGGGAAAGGAGACATATATAATACTTTAAGCAATAAAGAATTTAAAAAAAAAAGAGAGAGGATGACAAAGAGACATTTTCAGACCAAAAAAAAAAAAAAAATGAATTGGAGAGTTCTTCAGGCAAATGGAGACTGTTCACAAATGGAATCAATTCAATGTAAGGAGAAAGGGGGAAAGCAAAGGCAGATGGAGACTTCAGAGAGTAATTGATGTTTCCAAACCCGTGACCGGAGGGGTAATAGTGAGGGATCAGTAAGACAAGCATTTTTGAGTGGAATATGGTGAATTTAAGATTTAACAAGAGGCGTCTGAGTACCTTGAGTTCCTGTTCCTAAGTCACGTGTCTTGAAACGCCTTTCAGCTCACCGCTCTGTATGAGAACGTAAGTGTACGCAACCGGCAGCTAGAAGAAGAAGTAAAAGACCTAGCAGACAAGAAGGAATCAGTGGCGCATTGGGAAGCCCAAATCACAGAGATCATTCAGTGGTGAGTTCTTTTCAGCGTGGCTTTGTGGGTGATTTTGGACATAGCTCACGTCGGCATGAATTCCAGGAGGTGACTTCACACGTTACCTTATTTTTTTGCTATGAAAAAATGTTACTCTAAAAGCGTAGTTTTATTACTGATGTTATTACTGATTTGTGTTCTGCTGTGTTTTCCATTCCGTTCCCCAACTCCAACAGATACCCATGTCAGCTCTACACAGCATCATTGAAATACGGTGCTTCTTTCCAAGAAAAGAAACTGTTTTTTTCTCCTAAGACAGTTGGTCCTTAAAGGACAGAAGAAAGTCATTCACTAGCTATAGATGTTCCTTTCTAAGATCAAAATTGCTGTATTCATGATTATTTAAGAAACAGAAAGCCCGGAGAAACACTTAGAGGATGAAGATGTACTAACACTGTCCTCCATATTATAACAGATTGACTCACCATGGCATTTTACAAACCCATGTGGGTCCAGTTTAATTTTAGCAACTGCTCTTTAAGCTTTTAGGATTTCATGTGGAATAATTTACCTTAGTAACCTTCATATTAATTCACTCATTAAAATAATTATTCTAGTATTTGTATATATTTTTAATACATGAGAAAAGTGGAAGCAAATGGGGACTTTATTTTCTAATAAAAATAGTTTAACTTCTTATATTTATTTTCTAGTTTTTTAACTTTTTGGTAAATCATGGATATTTAATTTATCTGAAAATAACTCGTTTCTTCACATATTTATAGACCAATCATTTAGTAGAAATTTTAGTTTCTTGTGCTCTTATTTTGGTTCTTTAAGCATTTTTCCCCATTTTCCTTATACCAGGTTAATATCCTCCTTAAAATCAAAAGTGAATAAACACTCTTTTAAGAAATCTTACCCAAATGACTCAAGTATGGTGATATTGGCTTAACTGTGGATCTGTTATGTTAACTTATCTTGAGCTTAATAATGTGATTATTCAGTGAATATTTAAAGGAAAATGTCCCAGTTATGGAAATCTGGTTGTGTTCCAAGCAGTACAGTTAAATAATTTATTAATGTTTAATTTATGTCCTAGTCATCAAGTCTGCATTTCTTTTATTTTTCTTTTTTTTTAAATTGTTATTATTTTTAATCCTCACCCGAGGATATTTTTCCATTGGTGGTTAGAGAGAGTGACTTTTCCATTGGTGTTTAGAGAGAGTGACAGAGGTAAAGACAGAGAGCAATATCAGTGTGAGAGAAACACATCAATTGGTTGCCTCCTGCAGGCGCCCTGCCAGGGTTGGAAAGAACCTGCAACCCAGCCGAGGTACGTGCCTTTGACCAGAATTGATCCCGGGACCCTTTGGTCCGCAGGCAGATGCTCTATCCACTGAGCCAAACTGGCTAGGGCAAGTCTACATTTCTGAAGCAAAATCATTTTAATCATTAGCCAAGCGTATATAAAAAATTACGACTATTTATTTGTAATTCCATTATTCTTTAATCAGATTTGTTATTAAGGTATTGCTGAAAATGCCTTCATAGAAGACAAAGCTGACCCGGCCAGAGCCTGAGCTCCTAGCCCACTGGTCTCCGGAGCCTGCGTGACGGGCGCGGGTGGGGTGGGCAGTGGGCCTGGGAAAGGAAGGCAGCCTCAGTGTAGACAGGATGAAAGTGAAAGTTTTCATGTAATCCCACAAATTGCTCATTTTACATTTTTCCTATTCAAGTGAAATGTGCAAAAGAAATCAGGAATACACAGAAGTCACTTTGCTTAAAAGCTGATATTTAGAAATGGTCGTGTATTAAAAAACAAATTATTAAATACTTAACAGGCTAAAAGAAAAAGATATGCTCCTGTCCTCAGAGTCCTCACCTACTTGAAAATCACTCTCTGAGATACTCTACCCAAGGCTATGAAGGTCAGGGGTCTCAGCTATTTACAGTGTGTGGTGTGGGATAGTAAAGGTGAAGCAATGCAGTTTCGGAAACTTGTAATATTCATTGGTCCCCACTTATCTGCAGTTTTGCTTTCTGTGATTTCACTTACCTGTAGTCAGCCACAGCCTGAAAATATTAAAAGGAAAATTCCAGAAATAAACAATTCACAAGCTTTCAATGGGGCACTATTCTGGTGTAATGAAGTCCTGCACTATCTCACTCCATCCCGTCTGGGACATGAATCATCCCTTGACTACTCGGGAGTCTGAATTCTAAAGGCGCTAAAATAAGGGTTAAGATTTAAATTTGTGTGCTGTATGCATCACAGATACATGTTAATTTCCCTGAAATATACTTTCCTCATAGCTGTTCAGTGGCCTGTATTTTCTCTTTGAAAACAACCAACCTGCATAAAGTAAATAGTGTGTTAGAATATACTGCTGAGCATTGCAAATGTCAACGTTTTTCTGTGTGGAATTATAGCTTTCTGTGTGCAGATGATTTTCATTCCTGAAAACAGGACCTTTTGTAGATTTTCATACGCTGGCACCCCTTGACCCTCTTCTTCCCTTGTTTGGGAGGAGATGTAACAAAAAGCAGACTTTCTCTTGACAAATTCTAGCATGTGGAATTTGTTTTATTTTTTCTTTTATTATTTTTTAATATTTTTACTTGTTTCAGAGAGGAAGGGAGAGGGAGAGAGAGAAACGTCAATGATGTGAGAGAGCAATTGATCGGCTGCCTCCTGCACACACCCTAGTGGGGATCGAGCCCCCAACCCAGACATGTGCCCTGGTCGGGAATCGAACCCTGACCTCTGGTACATAGGTTGACGCTTGATCACTGAGCCACACTGGGTGGGGTGGGATTTGTTTTATTAAATACTAGAGGCCAGTTGCAGGAGGATTCCTGCAAGAATAGGGCTTCCTCGGGCTGATCGCGCCACCAAGCCCCGCTGCCGCCCAGGGCCGCTCACGGGGTCTCCTGGCTGGGGGCGGATCCCCGGCTGTGGGCAGGGCTTAGGAGGCACATGGGGGCCGGATGGCGGCTGGCACTGGCCCGCCCTGCCTGCAGTTTATAATTAGCAGCCATCTTTGTTGGCGGTTAATTTGCATATTGCGCTGATTAGCCCATGGGAGGCATGGTGAAGGTACGGTCAATTACCATGTTTGGCTATTATTAGATAGGATAATTTGAAAATATTTCTACCTAAAATTATAATACTTGCATCAGCAAGAAAGTCTTAACACAATAAATACAAACTGAGTTTTAGTAACCTTTAATCTTTTTTCTTTGATTATCTTATTTACCATTTCAGAAAACAGAAGAACTTTATTACAATACAACTTTGATTTTTGCAGAATATGTTTTTAAATAAGTTTCTGAATACACATATTTCAATTATAAGAATGGTGTGTTATGTTTTTATATAGCATAAAATGGCAGGATCCAATTAATGAGAAATCTTAATATTTTTTGGAAATCATGAGGGGGGTTAATGTTAGATTAAAAGAGTATTACTTCTGTGGTTTATGGGTGAAGTTTTAGGGATTTATGAGGGAGGAGTAATTTGGACTTAACCAAACATGGCCAGCTTTCATTTGTCCAGTGGACATTTCCCCACTTGTTGACATGCAGTGGTACTATGGTAGAACTTTAGAAAGAAGGTATTTGAGGACATCTTTAAATTTCTGTCACTTTTCACATTTCTTTGTGATGCTTTAAAATAAGTTTTTCTTTCTGTTTAATGTTGTGCTTTATCTCTGTCTTTATATGCATTTTAGGGTCAGTGATGAGAAGGACGCACGAGGATACCTTCAGGCCTTAGCTTCGAAAATGACTGAGGAGTTGGAAGCATTAAGAAACTCCAGCTTGGGCACACGAGCAACAGTAAGCTGCCATTCTGCACAGAGACTCGCCGTAACGGAGGCAGGGGAGCTCAGAAACACTGTGATGAACCTGAGCACTTTCATCAGTTTGTCTGGGCTTTAGCCGACTGTAAAGTTTTTCATGAGAAATCAGTTAGTCCAGGTCTTTTCCAGTTTAGGAAATCTTAACACATAGCTGCTTAACTAAAATTTGCATGGCTAGTTAATATTGAAAACAACTGTAAAAAAACTTACTTATTTTTGAGTCTACAGTTATTTCTGAGTTTAATGAAAAATATGTTTTCACAAGCAATGTGCTTATTCTATTTTATTAGAGAAAGATAATACTTTTAAGTAGTTTCCAACTTCACTTGGATTACTAAATTTGTATGTAAAAAATAGAATAGAGCTAAAAACAGTCATATTACTTCCTAGGACATGCCCTGGAAAATGCGTCGTTTTGCGAAACTGGACATGTCAGCTAGACTGGAGTTACAGTCCGCTCTGGACGCAGAAATAAGAGCCAAACAGGCCATCCAAGAAGAGCTAAATAAAGTTAAAGCATCTAACATCATAACGGAATGGTAAGACTGAATAATATGGTCCTACTGGAATAACGTCTACGTTGGTCCAAAAGTATTTGGAGAGAAGTTACATGTTTAGTTTACTATGACTTTTTCTTTAAAGTGGTGACCCAGAAATGGTTATGAAGATTTGAAAATGACTAGATGCTCTCAAACCTTTTCTGCAGTGGTGGAATTTTAATACAGCCTTGTTTCCTCAGACTTGCCCGTAAAGTGGAATGAATAGTACCAATTAATATTCTGTTATTTACTCTTCCCCTTATTTGTAAAATTTAATTGACTTTCATATTTTATTCCATTAAATCCCCACTTCTCTCATGTTCAAGAACATCATATTAACATAAAAATACAACATGTAGTCAGAACAAAATACAGTCATCTGAAAATTCTGGCCATAAATCTTTTACAAATGAAGGTTCTGTTGATGGTAAATTTTATAATGATATAATATATTTTAATTACTGTTCATGGTTCATGTTCTCTTATGGGTATAAAAACAAGTATATCCCCACAGTCTCTGGGAAAGCTAGCTATGAATACATTCCCTCAGTTCTTATCACAACAGTAGAGCAATTTGTACTCTGAATAAATAAGTGGTCAAGTGAAAATCATAATTGGACTGGATATAAACATGGTTTGAGAGCAAGTTAGTGTAGGTGACATAGAGGAACAATAGAAAGTTCTTAAAATGAAGATTTTAAAAAATTTCTTTTGGAGGCTCCAAAGTGTTCAGTCATGAAAAGAAATATAGTCCCATAAATTCAGTTTTGAATGGTGTGAAGCCTTAGTCTTTAAACGGTAGTCATTAATGTTTTGAATAAACTCAGAGGCCAGATAAATGGCAGCCCAGTTGAATTATAAAGTCTCGTTATAAATAATCTAGATATAAATTAAGAGTGTTTTACTTAAATGTGCTAGTGTGACTGGAAAATGGAAAAAAGAAAAAGCTTTTTCTGGAGAATATGAATTCGATCCCAGCATAAAGAGCTGTTAAATAAGAAGAGAAAGGGGCCTGGGGGAGCCTGTTTCACAGTGTGAGGGAGAGGCGTGTCCTCCCCACCTCCTGGCCCTGCCTCCAGCTGAGGAAAGTGCATCCCTACCCAACCAGGGGAGCGGGCAGGCTCCACACCCCACCTCACCCCACGCCCCTCCCCCCCCCCCCCCCGTGCTGTAGGACGAGGATTCCGTTGTGGTGGATTGGAAACAAAGAACTGATAGAACCTGCCTCAGGACTCCGGAAGGTGAAGAATAGAACTTATTTACCCCCATCAGTAGCAGACTGAGGCCCCGTTAGTGTGGACAGTGGGGCTGCAAAGATGTCCAGCTGGCTACCAGTGGGGCTGATTGCACAGATCACTGTAACCCCCCAACTCTCCACACCACACACACTTCCATCAAGAGGAAGAGTTCGGCATCTGGATTACATGTTGAATGCGGAAAGTGGGGTGGTACATAGTAGGAGCTTATTAGAGTTAGCTCTCTTTGCTATTAGAGAGAGAACATTAAAATCCATGAAAAGATCAGAACATATGTAAATAGCCTTGTGCCAAGTCCTGCTAAAAGTTAAAAAACAACACCACACACACAAAGTCCAAAAGTGGGTCCAGGTCACTGGCTGCTTCAAGGAGAAGAGAGCCAGGGAGGAAACCTACTGGTTGGCCCGAGCCTAGATCTAGGCTCAGAGACGAGGAAGTCAAGGGCCCTCGCAGCAGGGACTGGAATGAGAGACACATCGCAGGGTCCTCCACTCCCTTCCTTAGTGCCAGCTGTGGGAGGAAGGACACGCCAGCCAGTGCTCTGCACCCTGGCTTCCCTCCCAGGATCACTACGCCATTTCCCCGACAGACATTCTCTTTCATTCCCTGGAGTAAACTGTAAAGAAACCACTTTTCAAGTGAAGAGAATCCAAAAATATTCTTGGAAACCTTCAATATGTGGTCAGGGAGCTCTGACAGAAAATATACAATGAACCCAGCAATCACCGATGGATGGGAGCACATTGTAGCGCCAGTGTGTGCCACCTACAGACTGCACCCACCGGAAACAGCGTCACCCTGCCCCTTGGGAAGGTGCAGAGAGGGTGGGAAAGTCGAGCTGAACCTCAGGATTGTGCCTCCAGAATGTTGCCAAGGAGGACGAACGCCTGAAAACACAGATTAGGACCAAAGAAACAGCTCCCAAAGCTCAGAAAAAGCCAAGCAAAGAGTAGGAAACATCCAGTAGCATCGTGGCAATGTGGGCCAGTGTGGGAAGCTCTTCTTCCCTGGGAGATAATAGACAAGCCAGCCTCCAGGCTGAGGAAAGCGAGGGGAGGTGGCTGAGTTGAGCCAGTAGGACTGCATCCAAGAGACACACAGCCGTTCTCAGGTGGAATTTATACTGGGTCCCCATAAAGATTCAGCAGTTAAAGAAAACCACTGAGTGTCATTCTCTGTTGTAATCTGGAACAACTGCGTTTCTTCTTATGCCTGGGACATAGTAGTTTGTTCATAAACCAGGGATATGAGTCAGGCTGAAAATTACAAACATTCATATGCTCTTTTCATGGTTCTCTATGAAAAAAGTCTAACAGAATTCAAAAATTAACTTTTTCTTTTATGACATTTTAAAGTTTAATATTAAACTCTGGTCAGCAACTTTTTCTAGAAAAGGCCAGAGGGTAAATATTTTGGGACCATATAGTCTCTGTCTACTGTTTATGGCCAGGGACGCCATAAACAGTGTAAAACCAAGGGAGTCCAGCTGTGTTCCCGTAAAACGTTACTTACGCAAGAGCAGATGACAGCTGGATTTGCTTCCTAGTGGTTTGCATTTCCCTAATATAGCATGACTGACAGCATTCAAACCAAGTGAGTCCAACCAAGTAAATGACGGCTCACTAACCAACAATGAAAATAATGACATTTTCCCTTTTTCCTCTTTTTAAGTAAACTAAAAGATGCAGAGAAGAAGAACTTGGAACTGCTATCAGAAATCGAACAGCTGATCAAGGACACGGAAGAGCTTAGATCTGAAAAGGGTATGGGAATGTTTTTGTATCGATCAGGACTTAATATTCTGCTATGAATGTATTTTTATTACACAAGGACCAGCTTATTGTGTAGGTGGAAGAATTGTTCACCCTAGCAGTCTGGCATCCCTATATGGCTATTGGGATCCATTTATAGGGGTGTGTGTGTGTGTGTGTGTGTGTGTGTGTGAGAGAGATACATACATATTTGGTAGTTTGGTATCTGAGTCTTTTTGTTTTACTTAATATACATTGTTTAGAGATTTGATTTTAATAGAACTCACCTTGTCATAAATTTAACTATTTTTTCAGTGCCTACTTCACGAATAATATTTTCGTGATTGGAAAAAGGTATCTTATACTTTCTATTCTTCTCCCAGGGTAGTTGAAGAAAGAATGTATGAAATAACTAAAGTTTAATCTAATCCAGTATTAAAAGAGCAATTCAGAGATAAAAATTATTTTGGCATTTCGTTGTCTTCTTCCATATTTGGTTCTTAAATTGCTTGCCCTGAGGAATTTCCCAGGATTTATTCCCATTTTCTTAAAACAGTAATTACTTAAGCATTTTTTCCGTTAATGTGAAAAGCAACACAGAGTGTTTGGTAGCTATATTACATGAACTTCTTAAACTTTATTTTCATAATATGGGCATTCAGAAGGTAAAAAGTTTAATAAAAAGAAATTCAGAATGTTTTTAATGACAAGGTCTCTTCTGTGCAATAACGAGAAATTCATTTTCCTGACAAAGTCGGTATTCCTGACCGAATCCCAACCCGGTTAGTGGGCTCTGTGTTATGTCGTGTGCTTCCCTGTACTTCGCAGCCCCGTGACACACACTGATGTCAAATAGTTAGGTCTCTGCATCTGCTTAGAATTGTGGAAGAACAAGGTAATCACATTAAAGGAGTTAGCGTGGAAAGGCCATTAAAAGTAGTAGATGTGCAATGAATGTGGGTTGATAGGATTTCCTAGTGGACAAGAAAGGAAGGAAGCCAGAAAAAGTGAATTAGGAACTCAGATTTGGAAGGCATCCTGCTGAAATGAGAGTCAAGCAGGGCTGTATTCTTCAGAGAGGAAAGGAAAGAGAAGGCAGGACGTGGAGGACTGGTGGCCCTGAGACAGTTTATATAGACCAAGACCAGTGAGAGGGTGACTTACTGTGACACACAGATGACGTGGACTCATCGTTTTTAGAACAGACCCAAACTTGCGAAAGAAGAAGCTCAGTTCATCACATTGCTCTGTTTTGAAAACATGTGAACCTATAACTTTTTATTTGGATTTTGAACATTGTAGAATAAGAAAATTTTACTGTATATTGTAACATAATGTACTATACTACTTAAACAATATAATGTAATATTTACATAATGAGGGCAAGGTTCTTTTTTTCTGCTTAATTTACTATTATATTCCCAGTGTCTAGGTGGACAGCACATAATAGGCTTTCAATAAATATTTATTGACAATGAATTTCTGAACATACTGCCTTATCTTATATTATTACCGAGTAATCTGAAAAGCACACAAATTAATTGATGTCAATTCTTGAGAATATGGAAATATATGTACTTAATTTTTTTTCTCCTTAGTATTTATAAATTTATGTATATTTTAAAGCTTATTTTGGAAATTATGCATTTAAAGTTAATGCCATAGCCAAGAGATTTCATTCATTCTGTCAACAAAACAATACCTGCAATCAGATTGACAAAAGTTTATTCCATAACTAAACACATTGGTTTCATCACTGCATTGTTTTCTTATAAAAGATTATTTGTTAGTGCATACTGTATGTTTGCTAAGAATATTTCAAAACCAAAACCTTGTTTGGTGATAAATTATCTTAGAAAAATCAGACATAATCAGGGAAAAATCTCTCAAATCTATCAAAAATTTAATGTGTTTTTATAATGTACTATACGGGAAAAAGATATTTAAGAACTAAGTAAGTCAAGAAACAAGTGTTTCATGGAGAATGATATAATTTATCTGTTAACTGATATTCCAAGAAACAGTGTAATTTGGTTTTTTAAATATGTAGGGTTAATATATGTAGCTTTAAAATCCCGTAGTTTGCGAACAGCTTTTAATAGATTCAGGCAGGAAAGGTTATCCATGAAAATTAGTTTTATTCTAGTTTTAAGGAGAGTTGCTGCTGTCTTCTAGGTGTAGAGCACCGAGACTCACAGCACTCTTTCTTGGCATTTTTGAATACGCCTACCGATGCTCTGGATCAATTTGAAGTAAGTATTAAGCTTTTCAAATATTCTTTGGGTCAATTTAAAAATCAATTTGTGATTTAAAATTTACTTGTAATAAACTGGTATTGCATCCCACAGAAGAGGACCTAGACTCTTAGATATTTTAAAGCATTCTTATGGAAACTGCAATCACTTTTATATTTAAGAAAACATGAAAGAAAGGTCTACATAGGAGGAGAGTCGTAAGATTGAAAAGCAGTTTCATCTCTTCCCCTGAGAAGCAGTAAGTGCAGAACACATCTTGACTTTTGAAGTAATGTTGACTCTTCTCTTTTCGCCCACGTAAAAAGCAGTTGAAAATGTCCAAGTTCACAGTAGGACAGTGCTGGTTCCAGTTCCAAATTAATGCAGTTTTTAAAGAAAAAGTATGACATAGAGTGTATTAGGCAGATTCCATATTAACGGAATAGTGATTATATGGCTCTTTATCATTCTTTGGTACTTAATTTTTGCTTTAAAAATCTTCATAAAGTATATTTTAGCCCCAGAAAATTCAAGTTGGTGATTATATCTTTATTCAATGAGTAATCCTACATCTCTGTGCAAGTCACCATTCTAGGTGCCCGAGACAGTGAGCAGATGAGTCCCACCCACCTCAGAGTTACATTCTAGTGGGAATTATTAGAAGCAGAGATTGTTTCTTTCTTTTAGTCATCACCTTGAACATGCTTACACGGAATTTGATTATCGACTGGCCCAGGGCTTCGTTTTATTACATTTTGGGCACAGTATATGAACTGTATTTCATTTCTTTGGGAAAGGGATAAAGAATCACTCTTTAAAAAGTAATTAATGAATTTCTAAGTTTCTTGGGAAACAATGACAGTGACTGCTTTTTTCATTTATTTATTTGAATTAATGTCATTTGCCTTTCAATTGTTTTACAAATTTTTTGATTTATTATTTGTTCTTACTAAATTGCTTCATCCATATTTTCTATTTTTTTATTGCTGTATTCGTTAAATAGGATTCCTTTTCTTCTTCCTCATCTTCACTGATTGATTTTTTGGATGACGTAAGTCTGATTTTCAAACCAATGAATCCTTCAGTAAAAGAGATCAGTGAATTGATATGAAGAATTTGTCTAATGTAGTTAGTTTTAGAAATATTACACTGGATACTTTATTTGTGGGTCATAATTTGTTTCTTTTTTATCTTAAATGTAATGAAGAGTTTATCATTATTAAACATAATTAAAATGTACTTTGAAAAATTCTTTGGCCATCAAAGAATCTGTATGTTTTCATTCTTTGCAATAGTTCTGAAAACTGGAATGCTCATTTAATTGTTGTTGCAATATGTAGAGAACGATATATATAAATAACTGCTCATTTTTATTTTTCATGGTGATTTCTATTTCACATTCTCCATCTCTTTTCAGCACTTTATTTAATTTTCCTGTTACTTAAAAGTAAACCTCTGGTGGTATAATCAGAAAAAGTGGCAAGTTGTATTAAATCTTTCTGTAGGTTTTATAGTAGCATAGTAATTGAGTACAAATCCATTTTAATGCTGACAGAGTTTCTCTTCTAATGTAGAAAGGGATTTTAGTTCAGTAGGTTCTATATGCACTATAAATTGACCGCATTATCATTTTCTCTCCTAAATTCTATACATTTAATAATTTATCCTTCATTCTCTTTACAGAAATACCTGACATATATTCTCTTTATTCAGCATTAAAAGGCATAGTAATCCTTGTCATAAAGCATTTTATTATTCTGTTAAACATTCAGTCTTTCCAGAAACAAGGGAATAAAACTGGTTCAAATTCAAATGTTGTACATAGAGCTGTTTTATAAACCAGGGGAAATTCTTTAAATGTTTTATTTTTGTATTTTGTTAAATATAATTACTATATTCAGAAGAATATTTCCACTAAAGGAAACCCTTGATCTAGATTTTTTAACTTGTTTTTAAAGTGATTTTTTTATATCTTTGAAATATTTATATCAAAGTATGCACCTTTGCACTCTAAATGGAAACTACCTGGTATTTTATTATTCTTAAGACAGATAATTATTCTAATTAATTCTACAGTGTCAGAAAAAGAGAACTATTTTGATGTACAATAGTATTTCATGTTATAATCTGGTGTACATTTTACTAGACGAAAATACTCAATATTTCCATACAGATATCATCTATCTATATCTATATCTATATCTATATCTATATCTATATCTATATCTATATCTATATCTATATGTTGGTCTGACTGACTGACTGGCCGGTACATATGACATGCACTAGCAAGTTAAAAATAAATGTTGACTCGCGCATGCACAATACATATAAAGCTCTTGCTGGCACCAATCGCACACGTTTTAATTTTATAATACTATGTTATATATACTATTTTGACATGTACTTTTTTGCAGTAATGTAATTACTGCATGAATCTTCTAATTAATTTCCTTTTAATGTGCACGAATCCGTGCACTGGGCCACTAGTTCATCTTTAAAAGACTTGGAAGTTTGAATAAATTATTTAAATTGTTCTTTCCACTAGGAAATCATTTTCGTTTTTCTTTCTGACAAACTTCTCTACATCCCCTTGGTCCCACAAAAATCTTTGCGTGTAAAACATAGGAGTCATGTTTTGGCAAATAAGGCAGCCCTTCTCAGCAGACGAGCCTGCAGCAGTGCACACCTCACTGCACCTCGCCGGCCCCATCTTGTCTCTGCTCTCATTGCCGCCTCCACTGCCACCACCCAGCTGTAGTCAGTTTCCTGCTTCCCTGTTCCCTCCAGGACGGCCCTTCTTATTCCTCACCTATTGTTGCTCAGCATAAACTCCGTTCAGACGTACAGCCAGCTTTTAAAGCAGTGCAAAGGAGCTATTACAGAGAAAAGGGAGTTGATTCGCAAAGCTGCTGAACTTTATGTTCATGGTTCAGGCTCCAGCTCTGAGAAGGCACGGGTTTCCCCTCACTTGCTCCCTAAGGGCTCTTCTCCCAGTTTACTGGCTGAGCGCATAAGTGGACTCAGAGTCTGCCTCTGCTGCTTTTCCTAGGTGTATGCTTTGGAGCAAGTTATCTAGCCTTTGTTTGCTCATTGGTTGTTTGAGAATGTTTTTAAAAAATGTATGTAATGTTCACAGTACTATTGGTTATTATTTCCTTATTCTTAATAGACTCCTTTCCCCGCCCTTCCTGTGTTCTCTTTAGCTTCCTTTCTTGTCCATCAATTCAGTTCCTCTTCACCCCTCAGCCTTCTAGTCTCAGCCAATATGAGCCACTAAGTCTTCCTTCAGAACTTTCGAATCACATTACCATGGGAAAGGGATTTTTACCTGTCAGGGCAAAGGCCATCAACAAGCTCCTATTTTAAAAACGGTGTATTTTTAATTTGTATTTTATGGCATGAACCTCTTGTTCCTCTTTATAGTTTATAACTATGACCAGCCTTTCCAGAATTATCATTCAGTCCGTCCTCAGAGTCGTAGGAGAGTGGTGTTTGGAATAATGGTATTCAGTCTTTGGCGTGCTTGGGTTCAGCATCCAAGATATTTAGTATAACATTCAATTCTGTAGATTCCTTTCTCTTAGGCATTTGAATTTTTAAAGAATAAAACAAATCTTGATTGTTCTTTATGCCCAAACCGATTGAGTTGTTGTGTGTGATGCTAATAGTGTGTGACTGCCCTCTGGAGAGCTTTCTTATCCTTGCAGTTTCCTCTAAAATCTTCTGTAACTCCTGTCGACTCAGCTTATAAAGTCCTTCCTCTGGGCCCCATAAAACCTTGAACATCCCTCCTACGGTTCCCATACAGACTTGTACATATCTCTGTTACCGCCTTTATCACACTGTGATGGTTTGATGTCTCCGCCAGTCGGTGGTCTGCCACGCCTCCTTTTTCTGTTAAACCTGAGCACATTCAAACCCTCAACATGGTAGGTGAAGATAGTAAATTGCCTGAGAAGAGGTGGTTCATGTTTGTGAAGCTCAATATTTCATTTTCAAAAACTTGATAAGTGCCCTAACCGGTTTGGCTCCGTGGATAGAGCGTCGGCCTGTGGACTGAAAGGTCCCAGGTTCAATTCCGGTCAAGGGCATGTACCTTGGTTGCGGGCACATCCCCAGTAGGGAGTGTGCAGGAGGCAGCTGATCGATGTTTCTCTCTCATCGATGTTTCTAACTCTCTATCCCTCTCCCTTCCTCTCTGTAAAAAATCAATAAAATATATATTTTTTTAAAAACTTGATAAGTGAATTGAGAGACTCGGAAGTATGGACAGTGGTTGTATACCATTTCTGAGAAGTGGGATTGAGAAAGCTTGAACCTTAGCTCCACCACATACCAGTTTTGTGGCAAATTCATCTCTTTCCTTTGTATTTAAAATGGGGGTCATATTACCTACTTTAAATTCTGTGCGAATTAAAAGAGTTCATATAGGTAACGTACTTGGTAAAATATCTCTATATATGATACACATAGTAAACATTCGCTGTTAGCATTATTACGGAAGAGAGGGGAGAGATTAGATATTAGCGTTGGGGTTTAGTTGTTTAATGTTTGTTTTGGGAGGGAGGGCGAAACAGGTTCGTCCAGGAATAATAATGGAGGGATAAAGCCAGGTTTGAATCTGGCACTTTAGACTTAAGACCGACTGGACTACTAGACAAAACCCTGCAGGAGCCTGCAGGCCTCTGGCTGGTTTGCTGCTAGCTCTTCGGGACTCAGTGAGTGCCTTCCATCCCAGTGTCCTGGAGGAAGAAATGAGCTCCTGTCCACCGACCTGCCAGCGTCACTGACAGATGCCACTGATAACCTTGAAAACACGTTGACATGCTTATTACCTGCTGGTTCTTACTGTTCTTCCCAGACAGGAGATTGGCCTCCCTGGGTGAAGGGTTATTTCGTGGTCACTGTTTGTGCAAGGTCCAGTGAAAACTTAATGTCACTCTCAGACCTCGTCCAAGTGGCCATTTCTTTACTGTTCTATCCTCCAGTTTCTCCTGAAAAGTACATTCCTTTCAACCTAACAAAAGTGTCTTTGTATGTATGTTTATATACTGTGTATGTTGAGACAGCGGTAGTCGTTGGGAGTCACGTGTGTAATATGTGTAACGTGTAGTCTTCTCCTTTCTTTGTTGAAGCGCTCTCCGTCCTGTACTCCAGCTAGCAAAGGCAGACGTGTAAGAGTCCCGCGCGCGGCGTGCATCGGTGCCCCCCCTCCCTCTGCCTGTGGTTGCCCAGCGTGCTTACGCTCTGTGATGCACTTACACTGACCGCATGCTCTGTGCTGCTGCTCCTGCTGTTGCTACCTGCTTTTCTGTATTTTCTTTCTTTCTTTCTTTTGGCTTTGGCCGCAAAGCTTTAGGAATGTTCGTATAAATTTCTGTAACCAAACTACTAAAATTATTAGGTGCCTTTTTTTTTATTGTTGGAAAAAGTGGTTATAAAAGTCAACATGTAGTTTAACTTTCTTTTATTTAAAAAAAAAATATTTTTACTGATTTCAGAGAGGAAGGGAGATGAAGGGAGAGATAGAAGCATCAGTGATGACAGGGAATCATTGATTGGCTGCCTCCTGCACACCCCCCACTGGGGATTGAGCCCACAACCTGGGCATGTGCCCCTGACTGGAATCGAACCTGGGACCCTTCAGTCTGCAGTCCGACGCTCTATGCACTAAGCCAAACCGGCCAGGGCTCTTTTATGTTTTTTTACAACATAGTTTGTAAATTCTCCAGAGTAGATATTCAAATCAATATATTGAAAATAACTTGGGAAGTTTTCATAAAGAGAAACAAGTACATTATTTGTAACTAGTAAGATTACACTTACTAGTTATAACCTTCAGTAATTTATTATTTTAGAATGATAAAATACTATATTTACTGTTGTCCAAATGGTATAATTAGTATCTCTATAATACTGTTTTTACCCTAAGCTTAATAGAAATAAGTATATCAGTAAAAGTTTGAGATTTTAAACTGTTTCTGAATAAATAAATAAAAATAGATTACCTGCCACTTTGTTCCCAAAATACTTCTAGCTAAAGGATAA